CATATTAAGAAGGTAAATTTACCTTTCTCCCCGTAACAATTGGTCGATTAGCGAAATTTGAATAGGCTTGTTCATGATGATATGTGAGAAAATCATTAGTTGGATAGTCATGATGTTGTTGCTGTGGTTCACATTGTACAAGGTTAGAGGTTTCGCCACGTTCGGGTCTCGCTCTTTTTGTTCTCGGCATGATGACTGCAAAAGTTAAGAAAAATGTATGTAAAAGTTAAGAAAAATGTATAGTAAAATGTATGATGTTGGTATGAAGTTAAGAAAAAGGTATGAAAAATGTATGATGTTGGTGCCAAAAATGGAACAGATAGGCAACAGATAGCGAAACTGGGTGCGGAAGGCAAAGTGGTGGTTGAATTGGATAACCGGCCGGTTGACTAGCGGGATGACCGGTCGGTTGTCCCTGGTGGCTATTCTTTGCCTGCAATTCGTCTCCCTGCAACTCAGCTCTCAAGCTATCAAGAATATGAACTAACCTCTTCTCTCTTCTTTCTACGCTGCCTTCTACACTGAATGTAATGAATATTATAGTGTGATGGAGCTGCTTAAGGTGTTGGAATGAGAAGGGCTCAGATGGTGTGTTGGAATTCTGGATGGTAAAGATGGTGCAGACTCAGATCTTATATAGAGGCTGAGGTTCATAAGGTCCAAGGTTCATAAGGTCTAGAAGGTTTTTTTTTTTTTAATTTTTTTTCTTACTTACTTTTGATTTCTTACTAATTTTTTTTTCCCCTTACTTATTTGTAATTGCATCCGTATACTAACCATGTCTGCAGGTTTTTATCATCGTCTCTCTTTTCTTTATTCCATAGTGATGGATAGGAGGGGGTAGGCATCTTGGATACGTGAAATGACAATATTACCCTTTTTATTTTGTTCTGCCATTCAATTTAAAAGGGGTGAATTGGTAATTTCATACACAAATATCACTCCCCCCAATTATACGACCTTCTGTGGCCTTCACGGGTGAGTGACTTGCAATAGTACAATAATGCATGCACTTTTTCAGACGAGTTTTTTATTACATTAATAAAATGTAATAAATGAAAAAGTAATGAAAATGTTTGGTAACGTTTACGTATTGATTTGTATTTGAAAATATTAAACACACTGATTTACGTTAATTGTTATCAATATATATTCACCAAAGTTGTTGACTTGAACAAAATTTTTGAAAAAAATAAAAAACGTATTGTACAAAATCTTTGCACAGGCCAAAAAAATAAATTCACACAAAAATTAATTGACACAAAATAATTGACATAGAAGTTATTTAAAAAAAAATTATTTGACAAAAAAATTTATTCAAAAAAATTACTTAAAAACAATTAATTGAAAAAAAAATAATTTTTTAATTTGAGAATTTTAAAAATAGTTTGGTTATGACTGTTGATCAAAAATACGAATATCGATATATGAGTTGTGTGTTTGATTATCAATTAAAGGTTGAATTAAGTTCAGAAAACTATTTTGAAAACTCATCACCAAACAAATTTTCTTATTTCACATGTCACATCAAACTCTCAAAACTCAATTCCACATACAATTCAAAACACACTTCAACACTCTATTCAAAAACCATAACCAAACAAATTTTTTATACTCAAATCATAATTCCACAACTCACAAACTCAAAATACAACTCATACTCTCAAATCATATTTATAAAACTCTACCAAACGCAACCTTTGATTTTCAGCATCAACAATCGCAAAAGCCAAAGGAAATAGGCCTGAAAACAAAATAATATGAAACTGCAAAAATTAGCAGACTCACGATACAATAACAGAAACCAAAATCCATCAACTGCCAAAATACACTGACAAACCAAAACTATATTAACTGCAAATAAATATATACCTTGATTACCATCATTTGATGTTGCTGCAAGCAAATGTCCCTTGTAACGCCTCTTCAAGAATGTACCATCAACAAACAACAATAGACGACAAAATTGAAAGCCATACAAACATCCATGAAATGCCATAAACAACCTCCGAAAACACCCACTACTTTCATCCACATTTAATTCAAATACACTTTCGGGATTCGTTTTCATACCCGTCTCAAGGTACCATCGAAGTTGGTCAAAAAAAGATACAAAATCACCAAACAACCCACCTCTTGCCTTATCAACTCCTAACCATGCAACTCGATAAGAAACATCTATACCATATTGTTTTTTCAACTTTTTTTTAACTTCAATAGGACGAATCAACGGATTATCACTAATATTATTATGCACAATATCAGACACAAGTTTAGAACCAACCATTTTGCTACAAGATCTACGAGTAACAACCCCACAAGTATGCACATTATCCAACTTCATAATAAAAAAAAATATCGGAATTCATCAACACCCTTCTATGCACAAACCATTTACAACTCGTAGACGACTTCATCATATATTCAGCAGTTACTCTTGTTGCATCGTTCTTCAAATAATTCATTGCAAAACCACATTCAATTGCATACTTAGCCAATGCAATGTGGAACGCCGGCACTCCACCTAAGATTCTTGACCAACACTGTGTATAATCCCATTCCAACTAGCAGACAACAAAACTCACTTTGGCTCTGGATAAAAACTAGGTAACAAACCACCAAAATTATCACAATCGTTAACTAAAGAACTCTCACAAATTACAGAATCAATCTTAGAAGAATTATCATCAACCTCCACAATTCTCCTATCACACACAACAACATCAACAACATGAGAACCATTACAACTTACCATTGACATCATATTCCCCAAATCATCATCACATTCAACAATATAATTAAAATTTTCAGGAATAGAGAAAAACAAACAAAAGTTACCAAAACTCAACTCCTTGAACTTCGCAGATATTTTTTCAACAACTTCATATAACTACATCCCTCACTAATCTTAATAGCAGCACAAGATTTACTGTATTTGTACATTAACATGAAACACCCCTCCATATTACAAAATCACAAACTAGCAAACAATTGTTCACAGATTCCAAACTGTAAAATTATACAGTTACAACATATCAGTATCAACACTTCATAATTCACAATTTCAAACTGCAAAATTATACAGTTACAACATATCAGTATTAAAACTTCAGAATTCACAATTCCAAACTACAACTTCAAAACACATTACACTATACAACAAACAAAATCAACAAAATCAAAATCATTACACTACATCACATACAAAAATCACAAAATAAGTATCAAACAAATAAAGTTTATCACAAAACAAAGAACTATAACAATATTACCAAACACAAACTAGAGATTACGCAAATTTGCTTATCTATATATATACATACATATATGTATCGACAGATAGAGACAGAGTGAGACACAGACACAGACACACAATGAGAGAGAGAGAGAGAGCATACGCAAAGATCGCTTATACACAGAGATTCAGATTGCACAACAAGATCGACCTCACAGCACAACAAGATCGACCTCACAGTATAAAGAGATCGAGATCACGGAGAGAGATCGAGATCGCAGACAACCTCGCATAAGCGACATCACAATCTAGTATTTGATTTTTCACACATATATATATATATATATATATATATATCTCAAATCAAAGGGTAATACAATCATTTAAAAAATAAGAAAATAAAAAGCGGGACCTCTAGGTACAAAACTTAAAAAACTATGGACTTGTTAGTCTATTAAAAAATAGTGAGATTAGAAGGGAAATAGATCCTTTACATAAGACTACATAGCAATTTTCCCTTATTAGTATTAGAAAGGAGGTTGGTGTAATTATTTTTAAATTATAAACTTGTTTGGTTTATTTCTTTTTTTTGGAAATTGATTTTTTTTTATTTTTGTATTTTTTTTTAAAAATTTCACCTAGATTTTTTTTAATGTTTTAAGTAAATTTTTAAGTTTTTAGATACATGTAATATAAACATACTTAAAAAGTATAATTTTTTTTTGTAAAAAATCTAAAAAAAATTCAATAAATACCAAAAATATAAAAATTTAACATATTTTAAAAAATTCAATAAATACCAAAATTTATATAAAATATTAAAATAATGCACTAAAAACAAAAAATAAAAAACTCTATTTTAAAAAAATCAATCAAAACCGAACAATATTTTTTCTAAATTTTAATAAAAAATAATATAATTTACCCTAAATATTTAGACGACAAATTGTAATTTATCATTTTTTTCCTAGGCAAATCACAACAAGAGCAGCTCACTTCAATGAGGCATTTTTTTTACCAAATATGCTATTGAAATCTAAGTAACGTTTCGTAACATTTTAAAATTATGATTTGATGTTAAAAAAAATATATATTGTTCCGATCAATCGGTCGGACGTTCGAGTGAGATCTGAGAGGATGATCGAATAGATATGTTTTCAAAAGTAAATGTGAAATTAATATTTAAAAATTGTAATCAAATAATGCACTTAAATCAATATGTAGAATTATGTCTCCAAAACTCCACCAAACACAGCTTAAATTTTATCAAAGTACGTATAAATTTTATTCCCATAAAACAAATATAATTTTTATTGTTTAATTATTAAAAAAATAAAGGGCAAATTACAAACACCCTCTCGAGATTTGGTGAAAATACAGTTCCCCTGAGGTTTGAGAAACTACATCCCGCCCCCTGAGGTTTATATTTTCATAATAAATTGCTCCCTGAGATTTTTATTTTCATACAGATTCCTCCCTAATTTCTCCTAATTTGTTATGAAAATTTGATTCTCAGGAAGCAATTTATAATTTCTTAAACTTCAGAGAAAAATCTATATTTTTATCAAATCTCGAGGGAAGTATTTGTAATTTGCCCAAAAATAAAATTAAAAACCCAACTAGACATTCCCATGTTACATATAAAGGAGCAATTATACCATTTTAAGTTTGTTTTATTTTATTTTATTTTCATAAGTGCATGCATGCCAAACCAAATCACTATAACAGCATCCAATCATATTTCCGCCACGTGTATAACTGAAAAGGTACACCGTAAAACCCTTCACATCTAATCTCCGCCCATTTGCTCCCAATTCCTGAACTCAGCTCTCTCTCTCTCTCTCTCTCTAGCAATTCAAAGTTGGTGAAGAACAAATTCCTAGGGTTTCAATTCAATCCAATGGCGTCCCATCCCCATCTTGACGATGTTAGTTCCCTGCTTCAATGTTGTTGATTTTGCAACCCCCTAGGGTTTCTGTGGATGTTTTTGTTTTTTTTTTATTTTGTTTTTGATTGGAATGTTTTTGAAAAACACTCAGGATGATGATTTCGGAGGCGAATTCCCCGGAACCCACACTTCCAGGCGTTCAGGTTTATATATATATATATAATTTTATTCCCATAAAACAAATATAATTTTTATTGTTTAATTATTAAAAAAATAAAATAAAAAACCCAACTAGACTTCCCATGTTACATATAAAGGAGCAATTATACCATTTTAAGTTTGTTTTATTTTATTTTATTTTCATAAGTGCATGCATGCCAAACCAAATCACCATAACAGCATCCAATCATATTTCCGCCACGTGTAAAACTGAAAAGGTACACCGTAAAACCCTTCACATCTAATCTCCGCCCATTAGCTCCCAATTCCTGAACTCAGCTCTCTCTCTCTAGCAATTCAAAGTTGGTGAAGAACAAATTCCTAGGGTTTCAATTCAATCCAATGGCGTCCCATCCCCATCTTGACGATGTTAGTTCTGTGCTTCAATGTTGTTGATTTTGCCACTCCCTAGGGTTTCTGTGGATGTTTTTGTTTTTTTTTTTGATTTTGTTTTTGTGTTTTTGATTTGAATGTTTTTGAAAAACACTCAGGATGATGATTTCGGAGGCGAATTCCCCGGAACCCACACTTCCAGGCGTTCAGGTTTATATATATATATATAGATATACGTTTTAGCGAATGTGATTTGGTTGATGATTGTGTGTTATAATGCGATTTCAGGCAATAAGAGAAGTTTTGAAGATCTTGAGGATGAAGAAGACGATATTTTTGGCTCGAAGAAGGTATTTTTGGGATTCAGTACTGCGAAATTTGTGTTTGGGAAAGTGTATATTTTTTTGGATTATTGAGCCCAAATGGAATGTAGTTCAAATCCTGAGTTAGAGTTTGGTTTATTAAAATGAGGTGGAATGGAATGATTATTCCATCAAAATATTCATTACTGTGTTTGGTTCATTTAAAAATGATGAAAAATGCATTGTAAATAGAATTGTCATTCACCATTATAAGGAATCATAATTCTATTCGATCTCACATTAACAAGCCCTAGGCCTAGATATGTTTTTTGATAACTTGGTATCTGGCCCATTGGACTGATTAATCTGGGCACCAATCCCACCGTCCACTTGTGGATGTCCCAATGAAAGTTGGGGCAAAACCCGTTTGGACTAACCCTAAGAAATTGTTTGCACTTAAGAAGTTTTGAACCTAAGATGTAGATGGAGGTGATGATGGAGGAAGGTTCATTTAAAAATGATTGTAAATAGAATTATCATTCACCATTGTGAGGAATGATAATTCTATTCCATCTCACATTAACAAGCCCTAGGCCTAGATTTGTTTTTTGATAACTTGGTATCTGGCCCATTAGACCGATTAATTCGGGCACCAATCCCACCGTCCACTTGTGGAGGTCCCAATGAAAGTTGGGGCAAAACCCATATGGACTGACCCTAAGAAATTGTTTGCACTTAAAGAAGTTTCGAACCTGAGACGTAGATGGAGGTGATGATGGAGGAAGGTTCGACGAACACCTATGTTGCATAGACTTGGGTGCAGGTGTCAAGTGTGGGTATATGTTTATGTGTCTTATTCATGTGATTCCCATGTCCAAGGACATGAGGGCACGATAAAATATTCATAATATACTATTATTTTTTAGGATAAAATGGTGTTCACAAGGTGTATAGAGCATTTCATGCATAATATGAAGTTCTATGACTAACTTGAAGTACTATATATGCTTGCTAATTGCATGCCAACTACACATGAGACTTGTATCATTCCATAGGGTGGTATTCTAGTGAACCAAACATCACCTAACACTTCCTATTTAGAATTCAGAACTTTGAAACCATTGAATTTTCTATCTATGAATTTTGAAGTGTTATGTCAAATGTTTTACCTCTCTTTAAAATGATCATCTTCTCCAGAAATTTCTATTTCTATTTCTATTCCTATTTCCTATGCATTTTAGTCACATGATGTAATGCTTTTTGTTAATACTTTGCATTATAACTTTACATCTACTTTGTATTAGGAATTATTATTGGGAAGTCTAAATTCATGGGAAAATTGTTTGAAATTCAGGCTAACTCAAAAGTAGAAGAAACTGCACCTGGTGTGGCAACTGGGATGATTTTGTCCCTTCGTGAGAGGTATTGTCTGACATAGATTGTTTCTTAGTCTCTTTTAAAACATTTAATCTGTCAGTTATTTTGCATAAAATATTATTTGGCCATTGATGTTGTCCTTTTACTTTGGTGATTTTATTTTTGCAGCCTTCAAAACTGTAAGGATACCCTTGCAACATGCCAAGTAAGTATCAATATGTTTATTGATACTTGATATCATCTCTTTATATTATATCTCATTGGAATAGTTTCTTGGTAATGATATGTCTATTTATTCAGCCATGCTAGAGGCCTCTAATTTGGTGGCTCTAACCCACCACTAATGAGGTGGAAAAGGAAAAAAAAAAAAAAAGGCACAACACACACTGTGGCAGTGAGTGGCACCCACTGCCACATCATTAGTGATGGCACTAATTAGTGCTCACTCATTTTCCCTATTTATTAGTTTGTTCACTTTATAATGACCATGCCATGTGCAGTGTTCAAAAAAGATATTTAGTTGAGATTAAATGGGAAGGTCTTGCATAAATTTGTAGTTTATGTGGTTCATGTATGCGTTTCATGTATAGTAGATTTGTAGCCATTCTTTACTCTGGGCCTGTTGAGCATGACATAAGAATGGCCATGCATGCTAGTTTTGATGTATTTTGTTTGAAAATATTCAATTCATAGGCATGTGTGTTTTGCATGATTTTCTTCTTTTGGTCCAACGGATTGGATACACCATGTAGGTAACCCTAGGGGTGGGCATTGACTCTGCCAAGATTAAGTTACAAAAAATAAAGAAATTTTGTGACCAATCCCGGCCTGGCCCAACATTGGGCCTAAAAGTCCTATACCAAGCTCGGCCAAAAACCTACATATTAAATAAAAATAAATTTTATAAATTAAAAAACAGTAACTTTGTAGTTGTCACAAACATTTAGTTTTAGTACATTATATACTAGCTTTTTTTTGTTTTGTTTTGTTTTGTTGAACGCTCATTATATACTAGCTTGATGGGTTTATTTTCCTGTTCAAGTGAATTTATTTATTTTAAACAAAAATAAAACTAAATAAATTATATGTACATTTATATAAAATATATTAATAATCAAACCGGGCTTGGCTCAATGACTATGCGGAAGCACGAGCTATTTAATAAACATGCCCAAAAATTTTACCTAGCTCGGCTGTATGGACTTAAATATTAATCTTAAGCCATTCAAAATGCAGGTTGGACTGGGCAGGCCACCGGGCTGGTGCTCACCCCTAGGTAGCCCTCCTCGTGCCGATAAATTTCTCCAACCCCATTCCATCTACCAGGACTTGAACTCTGCAGTTCCCCTAATAAGGGAGTAGCAGACACCCACCTAAACCATAAATCTGGTGTTTTGTAGGTCTTAAGTATGCTCAAACTATTTATAAAGTTTCTGATCCTAATGGCTTTGGTTTCAGATGGACCTTGAAGCTGCAAAAGCCGAGATTCAGAAGTGGTACTCTTCATTTCAGAATGAGTCCTTCATACCTTCAGGAACATCTCTTGGTTAGTCTTTTCTTTGGGTTCTTTGAAGTGTTTCAATAATTTAGTTTTACGATACAGTTAGGCTTTTAACTTTTGTTTGAGCTAAGTTTGGTTGTGATGCCTATTCTATTTTGTTATTGTTTGATTTACTGTACAACTGATTGTCCTATATTTTTTGTAGAACCAAAAATAGTAATCAGTTATCTTCAGAGCCTAAAATCGTCTGAGGAGTCCTTGAGAGAGCAGGTTTGGTGTTTAACTTTGTGGTCTTCTTTGGTTGCTTCAGCAATTAGCACAAGTCATGCAAGATTACATCCTTTCTTATTATTATCATCAGCTAGAGAAAACAAAGAAGAAGGAAGCCGCATTTATTGTAACTTTTGCAAAACGGGAGCAGGAGATAGCAGAATTGAAAGTGAGAACTCTAGCTCTGCCTGTTGATTTTTATCGTATTCTAAAAGATTTAATTCAACTCAATGTTCTAGGTTTGTAGCAACTTAACTGGATTATTTGAAGGTGGTATGTTCTTTTTCTTTTTCTTTTTCTTTTTTAAGATGAAACATTATGTTTGGAAGGACAGGAAGAAGATGTGGGGAAAAAAAAATTCCTTTAAAAAGAAAAAAAATTGAAAGACAAAAAGTAGTTTCCTAAGTGAAACTGACTAAACCAATGAGACACCGGATTCAGGACCTTTTACACAGTATTGTGAAATGGCATCCCGTTTTTAGCTTGTCGTTCTGTTTTGTTTGACGTTAGTGGATCCTGGTTTTTAAGAGATTATGTAATAACATGTTTTTATCAATGTCCAAGAAGGAGTTGGAGAGTGTCCAAGGGCCAGTTGAGATGTTGCTGCCCATTCTTCGATCTGTAACTATTACCTATAGTGTGGTGTCATACAAGTCTCTATGGCTTTCTTTAATCCAAATTAGCTCAAGGGAATCTTGTTTGCATGTTTGTGAAAAGTTTCTTATTTTTAAGTTGATCTGCACAGACTTTGATTGTTGTAATTAAGGTGAATCAAGTCATTTAAAGGGAGATTTTATGTGAAGCTATAGCATGATTGTTAGTTTTTGCTTAGAAACAGGATTTTGGCTTTAGCATCAAAATCTATACCATTATTTAAAACTAAATCTGTCATTCCTTTAAAGGTTTTTTCAATAGATGCATGAAAATAAGTTCCATGTGCATCATCTTTTGTCTTCTCTTTATTGTATTTTATGACTATTCTTAAGATTAATATTAAGGAAATCTCTAGTGCTAATTAACTAAATTCATTACTTGGGCATTTTTGTGTCTTCCCTGTGATTTTGATTTTGTTTCTAATTTTTTAGTCTGCAGTACGAGATTTGAGAGTTCAACTTAAGCCACCGTCAATGCAGGTATGATAGAGATGTGCTAGTTTTCCCTTTTCATCGTGGGATCATGCATATTTAATCCTAGCTTTATTGCTTTATATTTACAAAATACACAATTTTGTATCATTGACTAATTGCTTGCTAATGCTCTATCTTTTATTATTTGAAGAACAATATAATTTATTTATTTATTTATATATATTGAAATAAGTTGTATGAAATAAAAGAAAGAGGGGGAGAAGTCCCATTACCAGAGGAGCAAGAAGTTTTAAATGAGAGTGTTTGAATTATACAGATGTCATTCTATTAGCCACTCGGCAACAAGATAAAATCAATTTAATAATTTCATCTTTATGCTTCTAAATCATCTCAAAATAAATTTTGAATTCTTTCTCCATAAATTCTCACAAACTTTAGAAGGGAACCCAAAGGATTAAATATTTTCAAACTGTTCCTCGTGGACTGGAATTTCTGGCTTCTTGATAACCCCTTTATACGTCCATTAGAACACACGTTAAATGTTGCTCACATTGCTGATTTTGCCCATGGATTTACTGAACTGTGACAATTCACCAGTTGCATTACTGTCTTCGGTACTTTCTCCTTGTAAAATGAATAATGTATTGCTGATATGTATCCACGGCTGTCCTGGTAGTGTTTTACTGCAGTGAGGTAACTAGTTGCCAGATGGGAGTTTGACCTGCTGCTAGCCGTTATTTTTATGACTCTGCAGAATCCTTTCAAAGGTTTCTTTTCCATTTCCCATCAAACTGCCCACTAATTTATACTGCAAAAGGCGGATGGGATCTGGGAGGACTTGACAGAGGATTAGGTTAATTCGGTTCTACGTCCTCATCGAGCCAAGTTCCAACTCAACTGACTGCCACCGGCATGATTATCCTCTCGTTTAATACCACCTTGTATTCATTAGTTCTATTTGAATGCGGTGAACTTCACTTTAGATGTTCAACTCTGGGTCTCTGGATAAATATTGTTCTATTCTTAGTCATACCAAATGATGGATTCACAGAGTATTTAAGGATTTCATGTTGTACTGCCTAATTCAGTTGGCACTCTCTTTCGAACATCGATTGATCCCTCTAACGCTTCTTTAGCTCGTATTTATTTTCAACATTTTGTGTAGTTTACAAATGTCGTGTCGCTTGTGTTGAATATAATTGTTATCCAAAAGACAACCTAAGAGGGGTGTTTTGAATTAGGTTTCTACAAATAAAAATAATAATATCTTAATAAAAATTACAACTAGCAGTAGATTGTTGAATAAAGAAAAATAGATAACTTGATCAAGCACAATGAGAAAATATCAGAAGTAGCTAACCAAAAATGCTGTGAATGATATTTGGCTTGAAACAAAATATTAGATAATTTGAGGCTTGAGACAAAATAAATAACAGCTTATGATTTTGATAGATTAGCAAAGGATTTAGCTTTCAAAGTAACTACAAGCTCATATGAGTTGGCTATAGAGTTATGGGAAAGGATTAGATGCTTAGCACAATAATAGCAAATGGTATATCAGATATAGCTATAACAAAAATCAATATAGTGAGTATATCAAATTGCTACATCAGTAAGGAAACAAGAGATAAGGAAAGAGGAGGCAAACAGATTTATAGTGGTTTGGCTTCAACTAAGCCTACATCCACTTCTCAAGTTTCATTTGAGATTTTTCACTTCCTTCTTGTTTCACAGGGGTACTAGCAACCTTTTCACAAATAGAACAATCCTCCACAGATTTTACAAAGACTGTACCAAGTCTTTAAACCCTTGCAAACCTTAGGTGATTCACAGTCACTCTCAAGGAATCAAGAAATCTGAGTGTACTACACTCTTACAAGATTGAAATGAATTGATTTTGCTTTCACAGAAAGCTTGAAATAAAGTTCACTCACAGAATGATACAATATGAAAAGCTCAGAGTGTTTATCTATAAACCTCACACAGGTAAGATTAGCTTAAAGCTAAAGCTCTGTGTATAATTTCTAAAGGAAAAAGAAAGTTCAGTCTATGAAGCATAGACACGGCAAAATCAGCGCCGTGGCAATGTCGGACACGGGGACACGCCGGGAACACGGGGACACGTACGGGACACGCCATCTGCCGTGTCCCTTTAATTTAATTGTTTTTCTTGTAGGGGACACGCGTGTCCAGATCTGGACACAGCGTGAGACACGGCAAGTAGGAAGAGACAAAGGAGAGAGTGTGAAGGAAGAGAGTGAAGAGAGACAAACCTATCGAAACTCTATGAATCCAGTCAAACATCGAAGCTCCAAGCTCCATCAGTCGATCGAACACCCCAGACGATCGCAATCGACCTCCATCCATGACCTCGACCTTGACTCGCTTGTCGATCTCCATCAGTAAGTCTCTCTCTCTCTCTCGTTCCTCTCTCTCGCCTTCCTTCTCGCTCGCGTCTCTCGCTCTCGCTCTCGCATCGATCGTGTCGATCGCTCTCTCTTGCTCTCGCGTCGATCGCCCTCTCTCTCCTCTGATCTGATTCGATTCATGTATCTATTAGGTTTAATGTATCTATTATAGGTATATAATATATATATATATATATCTGATTCATGTATAATATATCTATTAGGTATATAATATATATATGTATATATGTATTTATTTAATATTAATAAAAAAAACATATCTTATATCTTATATTTTATATAATATATATACATATATTAATAAAAAAAAAAGTAGATAAAATAAAAAATTAATAGAATCATATTTATTTAAAAATATAATAATTAAATAAAATAATTAATTTGTATTAAAATAAAAATATTTATATAAAAAAGATTTTGCCGTGTCCCCAGCCGTGTCCGTGTTCCCATTTTTTTAAAATTGTCGTGTCCCGTGCCCGTGTCCGTGTCCGTATGTGTGTCCGTGTCCGTGTCCGTGTTCGTGCTTCATAGAGTTCAGTTGTAGAACACTTCAGAGAATCAGAGAGATGAAGAATGTGTGATTGATGAAGAATCAAAATGTGTATAGCACGTTGTATGTCTCTCTATATTCATTGTTGTGTTTGCTGCTTGTTCAGAGCTCTGTCTATAATACAGAGTTGAGTGCTCTGTTCTTTTGTTGTTCTGACAGTGCCTATTCTCTTCTTCTCGTTGAAGAGATGGGTTAGTGATGGTTGAGGATGATATATAAGTCATTGTACAGATATTCCCTGACGTTTTGCTCATTGAATGATGAGTCATCTAATGAAAAACATTTGTTTTCTCTTCTTAGCATCTGTTACTGATATAACATTTCTCTGCACAGTGGACGTCCACCCGGATGTTTGAAGTAAAGTTCTGTGTCTGTGAGTTGTCCGCTTGGATGTCCCATGAAGTCCTGGTCGTCAAGGTTGTCATCTGTGGTCATCGAGCATACTATTGGTCTGATGTCCGGAGCTAAATAGAATTGATCTGGAACGAAACTGGGCTGAGATGCCTTGACCGGTCACCTGGTTGTCCCTGCCTGCCCAGAGCTGGAGAACAATCGGAGCAATTTTGGCCTGACTGGTCGACCACCCAGTCGTCCAGTTTTGAATGCAAGAAAAGCATGATTAGGATGTAAACATAGATGAAAATATGATGGAATAAAATATAAGATTTCAATCTATTTTGCTCTTCCAAATAAATCAAAATCAGAATTAAAACAAAATAGAAAAACAATCATCAAAATACAATATGTCGAACAACTTGGAAATTGGAGGTGAACAATGAGGAGCTTTCATTAATATGAATCCCGACTGGCGATAACTATGTTTATATTGTGGCATTGCTTTATGTGTTGTATTTTTCTTCTCTCTCTCTCTCTCTCTCTCTCTCTCTCTCTCTCCATCCTTATACAACCAAATAAACAAGAAGAAATAAGTACAAAAACGCAAAACCAAAAAGCATCCACTCTAGATTTCTGTTGTGCTTTAATATATGCCCACTTCACAAAAGAGTCTTTCTTGGTTGTTCGATTTGTCTCTTTGTATTCTCTCTTGAACTCCTCTATGAAAACAAAGAAAGCACTAACATGTTTCTTGTAATTAACTTTTTCTCCAGATTAGGACTGCGTATACCCATTAGAAGACATCACCATTTTACTGTCCTCAACTAAACTCCCAGTCCTATCCTCCTCACATCCTCCCTTCCCTTGATACCTACCTATCTCGGTAGCATGCACCTAAAAAGCACGGACACAGACACGACACAAATACGTGGACATGCAAATTTTTAAAAAATACAGGATACGACACGTTAGGTACACGTGCAAAATATATAATTTTATATATTTATTTCATGTCATATTTTTAAATATTTAATATTTATCTTATGTCAAATATTTAATTTTATCAAATTTATTAACCTCAGACATGCTATTTTAAGAAAAAAAATTTAAAAAAATTAATTTTTTTTTGAAAAAAATGGTCCCCAATGTGTCTTCAGCATGTCCCAACGTGTCCGTAGCGTGTCCCAAGTGTCTGAGCATGTCCAATGCTCTACATCGTGTCCGGCACGTGTCAGACACCTGTACGTCCCCTCCGGAAAGGTGTCCGTGCTAAATAGACATGCACCAACTCTTCATCTCCTACCAAAAATGAAGAAGAAGCCCCATAATTGCCTCCGGCATAATCTAAACACTTCCTTTTCACCTTCCTTGCCTTTGCCATTATCACGTTTGGAGGTTTCTCAACTTTAGTAATTGAATTCCATTTCTTTCTCCCAGACTCATTAACCTTAGTAACTAAATTTTTGTTCAGGTGATTTTCTTTGTGCTCCTTCCTAATTTCCTCCATGAACATGACAAAGGCCCTGTTTGGTAGAGCTGTGGGAAATTGCTTATAGCTTATGCCTCAACAGCTTATAGCTTATAACTTTCAGCTTAAGCTGATTTCCAGCTTATTCTTAAAGCATCTCCTGCCCCGCTCAAAGAATAAGCTGATTTCTGACTTCCAAAAAGCTATAAGCTATAAACTATAAGCTAAACTAAACACATCAAAATAGCTTAAATTAAGCTGAAAGCTGAAATAAGCTGAAATAAGCTGTAATTAAGCTCTGCCAAACAGGCACAAAGGCATTGATAGGTTTCTTAGGTTCCTCCCCAACCCCAAAATGGGGCTGCTTGTTCCACTCAGAAGTATATCCCTATCTGAGCTAGAGCTTTGAAATTTTATCCACCTCAATCCCTATAGGCTGCAGAACACTACCCTTACCTAACAAAAGGCTATCACATCTTCAAGTGGTTGAATCTGCCATCCCTCTTTTGGCCCCCACACAACCATAAGTGAATTCATACAACCTCCTAAATCTGATAGATCTTGCCCCTTGTCACAACCATCCCAATTGAAGCCGCATTTCTCTCACAACCCCTTTGACCACTTGCTCCAAAAGACAACCTCTTATCAGACCTTGCAGTAGGTTTCTAACAACTTATCAGACCTAGTAGTAGGTTTCCTTTGCTTCTAACTTCTACCTTCCTAATTGCTGCCCTCCTTTTTGAGCTCTTGTAACCCTATGCACAACATCACCCTTCCCCTTTGAACCCTCTCGAACTACCTAGGCCCTAGCTAGACCATCTCAACCTTCATCTTATCCCTTCCACTGCCCGCCACACTAACCTCTCTCCTCTTATCTACCTTTATCGAGCCTTCATTAACTTAGGTGATTCTTCCCTCACTGGCAGCCCATCAGGCATCAGACCACCATCGCCCTTAACTCCATCAGCCAGAATATAGAAGAAGCCAAATTGGGTCAGGGTCCTTGGTTTTAATCCAAAACAAGAGGGTTGGGCCAGGCCCTCAGCAAAAGTGAAAGAAGAACCACAAAATCATTGACCATTTAAAAATAAATAAATATATCAATGTGGTTATTTCATCTCTTTTTTGTAGGGTAATCCAATAATGCTGAAGCATATTTTCCATGATTTTACAAAGACTGTACCAAGTCTTTAAACCCTTGCAAACCTTAGGTAATTCACAGTCACTCTCAAGGAATCAAGAAACCTGAGTGTACTACACTTTTACAAGATTGAAATGAATTGATTTTGCTTTCACAGAAAGCTTGAAATAAAGTTCACTCACAGAATGATACAATATGAAAAGCTCAGAGTGTTTATTTATAAACCTCGCACGGGTAAGATTAGCATAAAGCTAAAGCTCTGTGTATAATTTCTAAAGGAAAAGGAAAGCTCAGTTGTAGAACACTTCAGAGAATTAGAGAGATGAAGAATGTGTGATTGATGAAGAATCAAAATGTGTATAGCACGTTCTATGTCTCTCTATATTCGTTGTTGTGTTTGCCGCTTGTTCAGAGCTCTGTATATAATACAGAGTTGAGTGCTCTATTCTTCTGTTGTTCTGACAGTGCCCATTCTCTTCTTCTCGTTGAAGAGATGGGTTAGTGATGGCTGAGGATGATATATAAGTCATTGTACAGATATTCCCTGATGTTTTGCTCATTGAATGATGAGTCATCTGATGAAAAACATTTGTTTTCTCTTCTTAGCATTTGTTACTGATATAACATTTCTCTGCACAGTGGACATCCACCCGGATGTCTCAAGTAAAGTTCTGTGTCTGTGGGTTGTCCGCTTAGATGTCCCATGAAGTCCTGGTCGTCAAGGTTGTCATCTGTGGTCATCGAGCATACTATTGGTCTGACGTCCGGAGCTAAATAGAATTGATCTGGAACGAAACTGGGTTCAGATGCCTTGACCGGTCACTTGGTTGTCCCTACCTGCCCAGAGCTGGAAAACAATCGGAGCAATTTTGGCCTGACTGGTCGACCACCCAGTTGTCCAGTTTTGAATGCAAGAAAGGCATGATTAGGATGTAAACATAGATGAAAATATGATGGAATAAAATATAAGATTTCAATCTATTTTGCTCTTCCAAATAAATCAAAACCAGAATTAAAACAAAATTGAAAAACAATCATCAAAATACAATATGTCGAACAACTTGGAAATTGGAGATGAACAATGAGGAGCTTTCATTAATATGAATCCCGACAGGCGATAACTATGTTTATATTGTGGCATTGCTTTATGTGTTGTATTCTCTCTCTCTCTCTCTCTCCATCCTTATCCAACCAAATTTACAAGAAGAAATAAGTACAAAAACACAACCAAAAAGCATCCACTCTAGATTTCTGTTGTGCTTTAATATACGCCCACTTCACAAAAGAGTCTTTCTTGGTTGTTCGATTTGTCTCTTTGTATTCTCTCTTGAACTCCTCTATGAAAACGAAGAAAGCACTAACATGTTTCTTGTAATTAACTTTTTCTCTAGATTAGGACTGCGTATATCCATTAGAAGACATCACCATTTTACTGTCCTCAACTAAACCCCCAGTCCTATCCTCCTCACATCCTCCCTTCCCTTGATACCTACCTATCTCGGTAGCATGCACCTAAAAAGCACGGACACAGACACGACACAAATATGTGGACATGCAAATTTTTAAAAAATACAGGATACGACACGTTGGGGACACGTGCAAAATTATAATTTTATATATTTATTTTATGTCATATTTTTAAATATTTTATATTTATCTTGTGTCAAATATTTAATTTTATCAAAATAATTAACCTTAGATATGCTATTTTAAGGGAAAAAAAAATTAAAAAATTTAATTTTTTTTTTGAAAAAAATGGTCCCCAATGTGTCTTCAGCATGTCCCAACGTGTCCACAGCGTGTCCCAAGTGTCTTAGCATGTCCAACTCTCTACATCGTGTCTGGCACGTGTCAGACACCTGTACGTCCCCTTCGGAAAGGTGTCCGTGCTAAATAGACATGCACCAACTCTTCATCTCCTACCAAAAATGAAGAAGAAGCCCCATAATTGCCTCCGGCATAATCTAAACACTTCCTTTTCACCTTCCTTGCCTTTGCCATTATCACATTTGGAGGTTTCTCAACTTTAGTAATTGAATTCCATTTCTTTCTCCCAGACTTATTAACCTTAGTAACTAAATTTTTATTCAGGTGATTTTCTTTGTACTCCTTCCTAATTTCCTCCATGAACATGACAAAGGCATTGATAGGTTTCTTAGGTTCTTCCTCAACCCCAAAATGGGGCTGCTTGTTCCACTCAGAAGTATATCCCTATCTGAGCTAGAGGCTTTGAAATTTTATCCACCTCAATCCCTATAGGCTGCAGAACACTACCCTTACCTAACAAAAGGCTATCACATCTTCAAGTGGTTGAATCTGCCATCCCTCTTTTGGCCCCCACACAACCATAAGTGAATTCATACAACCTCCTAAATCTGATAGATCTTGCCCCTTGTCACAACCATCCCAATTGAAGCCGCATTTCTCTCACAACCCCTTTGACCACTTGCTCCAAAAGACAACCTCTTATCAGACCTTGCAGTAGGTTTCTAACAACTTATCAGACCTAGTAGCAGGTTTCCTTTGCTACTAACTTCTACCTTCCTAATTGCTGCCCTCCTTTTTGAGCTCTTGTAACCCTATGCACAACATCACCCTTCCCCTTTGAACCCTCTCGAACTACCTAGGCCCTAGCTAGACCACTCGCAACCTTCATCTTATCCCTTCCACTGCCCGCCACACTAACCTCTCTCCTCTTATCTACCTTTATCGAGCCTTCATTAACTTAGGTGATTCTTCCCTCACTGGCAGCCCATCAGGCATCAGACCACCATCGCCCTTAACTCCATCAGCCAGAATATAGAAGAAGCCAAATTGGGTCAGGGTCCTTGGTTTTAATCCAAAACAAGAGGGTTGGGCCAGGCCCTCAGCAAAAGTGAAAGAAGAACCACAAAATCATTGACCATTTAAAAATAAATAAATATATCAATGTGGTTATTTCATCTCTTTTTTGTAGGGTAATCCAATAATGCTGAAGCATATTTTCCATCTATGTTCCTCGCGCTACTTAAATGTTATTTAGTTTTGGAATATAAGTGTTCTTTTGAGTTGTTCTATATTGCTAGTGGCTTAGGTTTTTATTTTTAATATTTTAATTTTTTTTGGTAAACCCGACAGGCAAGGAGGTTGTTACTAGATCCAGCTATTCATGAAGAGTTTACACGGCTAAAGGTGCATATTTAGAACTCCTTATTACTATTTCTGAGTTTTTGTTTTTTTATTTTGAATTGATGTTTTGCTTGCATATATTCATTTCTGTTTGTTTATATGCACATTCACATATACACAAGGTTGGCTCTTTTACATTGTTCCTTATGGTCTATTATTTAGGATGTTGTGGAAGTAGATGGTTGTAGCATGTCCACTTTAGAAAGCCCAATATTTGTGGGCTACAATGATGAGGTATATACCCAAGTCTGTGTAACATGGGCTCCTCTATTGAATCGTTTGTGCTACTTGAGTGACAAAAACAGTGGTGAAAGCACCTGGCGTGGGTCGACCTTTTCTCTCATGTTGCTAAAATAGAAATTCACTACTAAGCATGCAATTGGACAGACCATGAAACATTAGGCTGAGCTGAGTTATAATTGATGTGCTTTACCACATGATTCCCATCAGATCAGAGCGGAATTACCTTGTTGCTTGATTACTAAAATATTGTGCGGCATAGACATTATTTACTCCTTTTGGTAGGATAGGTGTCGCAGTGGTCTCTTTTCCAAGAGAATTTTGTTCAATTTAGAATATGCAATGGTGGTGATGAATCTTTTTTGGTTGACCATGTGTTTGTACAAATATATATACATATTTTGAGGTTGCTTACATTTATTTATTTATGTGTTTTTGTTTATCACAATGCCAGAATTTGGTGGAGGAGAAGGATAAAAAAGTAAAGGAGTTGCAGGATAATGTTGCTGCTGTCAATTTCACCCCGCAAAGCAAGATGGGCAAGATGCTAATGTCTAAATGTAGGACCCTGCAGGAGGAAAATGAGGAGATTGGAAACCAAGCCAATGAAGGAAAGGTACTCGTTGTTGCACTTGTGTAATAGTGAGTGGCTTTAGCAGATAGATTATATCAAAAAGGTTTTTTTACTGAACTACATTACTGTCCAATCTATATTTGGTCTCTATGAGGAAATTGGATGAAAAAAGAATTAAGGGGAAGAAAAGGGGCGTGGGGCAGGCTGGTGGGGTGTCCAATGTTTGGGCAATCAAGTGAACATTTTTTAATTTTCTTTTAAAAATATTCTTTGGGAACACGTAGGATATTAACATTGATAATTACAACATTTTAGGGTCTAATGCCATTCAACTATGTTCCTGTAATAATTATTTGTCTTGGGAAAAAAATGTTCATAAAATTTCTTAAACAAACGTATGGCAGAAAATTTATTAATGCAATTCATGTGCACACAGTTATTGATATATTGCTGTGTAGGGTGTGGCATAAAAGGCTTTTACTGGTTATGTGCTAAAAAAAGGTTTGGTTAATGTATGTTTATAAACATTGTTTTCTCTGTCAGATTCACGAGTTGGGAATGAAACTAGCTTTGCAGAGATCTCAGAATGCAGAACTTAGAAGTCAATTTGAAGGTCAGTCATTCATCACTTGCAATTTACCATAAATTGGGTCAGTTGTTATTACATGTTTGTTTTTTATTTTTTGCCTATAATATCAAAAAATGAATGCACTGTCAGTTTGAATGTGGTTTATCAGACTTTTATCTGTTATGTGCTCTTGATTTTTGTTTGAAATGTTTATATGGTAATGTCAGACTAAAGCAAAATGGGAAAAAAAAGGGAAGTACAAAAGTCTAATATGGCAATACCTACTACATCGTACAACATCACCGCTATGATAGTTCTACTACATGTTCTTTACTTGTCATGTTAGAGAGGTCATTTGCTTCCAAAAGGTATAAGGACTTTAAAAGGTAGCTTTGAATTCCTTAAAGCCTGATTTTTACCCAAGTTTATGTACACAAGGAAACTGGCATAACCCAACTTCAGCCAAATACGCCAATGAAGGCTGCCCATATATCACAACAATGAATACAATAGATTAATGTTCAATGTCTAAAATGCACTACTTTTGAGTGTTCAAAGTCGGCAGATTATAACATTATATTTTTTTTACTGTTGTTCTTTGATATTTGAAGAAATTGAAGGTGTTAAGGCCTTGGTTGATTAACAGGATTAATAGTGAAAGGATTAATAATCCCATGAATTAGTGTAGGAATTGTTATCCAATTAAATTAGTAAGATAACCATTTATTATGTATTCATTTTGTTTTTTTTCTTTCATACTTGAAATTATGATTCTCAACCCCTCTCAATATTAAAAATTCATCAATTTTGTGGGATTGAATATCTGCTATACATGTAATCCGGTTAATAAAATTTACAATCAAACATGTGATTGTGAGTCCATAGACTAACAATCCCAATTCTATGCTATAATCCTACTAATCAAACATGCCCTAAGGGAACTGTTTTCAGAAGCGCCCATTTTATGAATGCACTTCTTGAATTTTAGAAGGTAGAAAGAGACCACACCACTTTAATTCTGTGTCTCGACTCTTGAATACTTATCATGGCTGACTGTTCCTCTATGTTGGTGATTTCGTAGAGTCTGGATAGTTCTTTGAAATAAGGGTTTCACTAGACATTTCATTCTAGCCTTTGTTCTGCTTCAAATGCAATGTAGGACATAAGTCAAAAAACTTATAATATGAAGCCTATGATTAGACATACAGTGGGCAAAGGTTATAGCAAACTTGTACGCGTAGGTTTGAAGAGGTTTAAGAAAGGTTGTAGGCTGTGGATTGAAAATGATTAGATTTTGCTTGGTTTCAAGAATAATTTGTTGCAACAATTGCAGAGAATTAGTTGCTGGAAATTGTTGCCAGAAACTATCCCAATTCAGGAGTACTTTCTTGAGATTAGTTTCTTGTCTGGGTTTGACACCATGTCAGGCAGAGCTCTTCTTTGTTTCATATGGGAACATGGCATGCATGCCCTAACATGTCAAGCATGTAGTGGGCACTCTTGAAGTGGAAAGTTGAAGTGTAGTTGTAGAGAGAATTTATGATTTAGTGCATCAGTAATAATGGTGTGCCAAAACACTTGTCCTTCTTTTTTTTGATAACTTCTGTTCTTCCAGGAACTTAAAATTACCAATGCCCTCATATCTACTCTCAACCGTGATCAAATGCTGTTGCATTTTCGCTTGCACAGTATGCCCATAAACGATCAGATGAAAAAACAATTACTGCTCGTGTTTAAATAAAGAAAATATTTTTCTTCTTTCCTCTAAAAATAATGGAATTATGGAAGGTAATAGTATTTCTGCCTCAATTGCAATATAAAATGACCAAAATTAGAATAGGGATTGCAACCCCACACTACGATGATGGGACATTTAAATTTGTCAATTGTGTTTATTAGTTTATTGTTTAGTATTCCAATGAATATTATTGTTTAGTATATTGGTTTTCTCATCAAGGAAGCACGTCAAAATCAACAAGATCGCTATTTCTATCTCGTTTAATGTTGCTTTATATACCTTATATTTAACTTGTCTTTTTTAATTTTATTTTTTGTAACATATTTTTCATTTTATATAGGCTCATCTAATTTTTATTATTCTTGTGTGTTGCTTACAGGATTATGTAAACATATGGAGGGACTCGCAAACGATGTGGAAAAATCAAATGAAATGGTCTTCATCTATCTCTACATTTTTTCTCTTCCATATTCAACTTGAAATAAAGCATATTACTACAAAATCTCTAAGAAGTGAATTTAAACTCTATTGTTCATTGGCTGTCAACAGACAAGGATAGAAATGAACTTTAGGACCTCGACACAACATTGCCCAAGTAGTTTGGTATTCCCTTTTTGTTTCCATTTTTATCTATGTTCTACAAAACCAAGTGGAGCATTTAGGGGGTTTCCTTGGGGGCAACCTTAGTGGTTTACTCTGTAGTACAAATTCTTCTAAAAGGGAGTCTTATCCATATTGTACCCATATAAGATACCAATATTCCTTGGATACTCCCGGATACATATCTAATACTTCCTAAATGTCTTCGATACTTTATGTTAATTTTGAGAGTATTGTACATTTTTTAGACACTCTAGGTCACGTATCCAGACTATTGTGAAATTCAAATTGTAATAATTTTTGTATATTATGATAGTAATAATTATTAGAATAAATTCAAAAATAGTTTTTGAATATTTTCTTATTTCATACTGAAGAAGAAAATAGTGAGATTAAATTAGTACTATACTTTTTGTTGTCTAAAGCTAATATCTAATTTCTAAACATTCTCACTATTCTTTGAGCTCATGTTTAATACAATACTAAAAATTATAATTTTTTTTCAACATATCTTGGCCGTACCCATGTCTTATATATATTTTTAGATTTTGTCATATCATCGTATCCATATTAGGGCGGTTCTGAGGTAAGGCGGGCAAGGCCGCTGCCTCGGGCCTCCAAATTCTATCTAAAAGATAGGGCTCCAAAATAATTTGGATCTTAAGTTATGTTTGGTTAATTATTTTGGTCTTCAGTTATGTTTGGTTTATTAAATATAATTGAATAGAGTAATTATTCCATCATAATGTTCATTTTCATGTTTGATTTACTAAAAAAAATTACAAATGAAGTCGCCATTCACCATTGTGAGGGAATAGTAATTTTATAAAGAGATTAAGGAATGATCATTTTATTGAAGTAAGACGCACACTCTTAGCAAAAAATAGAAAAATTAACATAGAGTACCTAGAATAATTTTAAAAACAAGACATATAGTACTAAGACAATTTTTTTTTAAAATAAAAAGTAATCAAGATTTAAGACAAATTATAGAATAATTTTCAAAGTCATAAAAGTGCATATTACATAGCATTGCAATTTTCAAAGATAAAATAATCTACATTAAAAAAAAAAAAAAATCCAAAACATAAATATCCAATAAATACTAATATATGTCTTAACACTTAAAAACATCAATATCGTAAGAAAGGATAGATTAGGTCGGTCAGTCAATTATCATCCTCAACATCAATGGCAAGCAAACTATCATCTTCTTCTCCATCAGTTGATTTATATCTCTCAACATCTTCCTCCTCTGTGTCATCTGAGCCCGTTTCCTCTTTATCTATTGATTGAAGTGGAGTTAATCTTGATGATTTAGATATCCTCAGTTGTGCCTTTGAGCGTGAACTTATTGCTCTACTTGCATGGCTACTTTCTTCTACTCTAGAAGCTCTAGCAATAGTGGCCCACATCAAGCCATCATCATCGTCAAACACTGGCTCATTATCTTCATCTGATTCTCCATCCATCCTTCCAAGCAACCATTCATTGCTTTTATCAATATTTTGCAAAGATATGGGATCAAGAGTGTTGCGCATGTCATACCTAAATCTCAATGTTCTATTATATTTGAGAAACACTAAATCATTGATGCGACGTTGTTCCAATCTATTTCTTTTCTTGATATGAAGCTGCAAGTATTAAAAAGATATTAAATTCTATATAATGAGAATAAAAAATATTTGATTCAACAAAAAATTAGTTAGAATGTTAAATACTCACATGTTTAAATACACTCCAATTTCATTCAGAACCCGATGAACTACATGTTAGGGTAAGGACTTTTATGGCAAAAGTTTGCAAGTTTGGGGTTTTAGAACCATATGATGCCCACCAATCAGCTGCAATAATCACTAGTTAGAAATAATTGTTATCAAGTATTGAGTTTTACTAAAAGTATTACTAAAAATAAACTCTATGAGTTTATAATATATTACCTGGTGCCCTTGTATTTCTTTGCCTAATTGCAACAGGCTTGCCAAAAAGGCTCTCAGCCTTCGTATAAATACTCATTTCATTAGTGATCAAATCTTGAACAGTGACATCTGGGACCAACCTTTGCATGCATTCATAAAACCCATTCATCACTTCATGGTCTTTTTGCACCTCTAAAGCTTTTGTGTAAAAGAATTCTAGGTTAAGAAAGTGTACAGCTACATGTAAAGGTTGTTGCAATTGGACATACCATCTTTTGTCGATGATTTCGAAGATTTCATTATACTTTTCTTTTTTATGATCATATGAACTTGCAATGCATTCTTTTGCCCTATCCATTGTCTCATAAATGTATCCCATGGGAGGTTTCTTCTCGGTATCAACCAATCCGAGAGGAGGACCCGAGACTTTAAGGGCAAACACAATAGTATTCCCAAATGAAGGCATCAACAAAGTTTGTACCATTCTTTTACCTTGTGGCTCCTTTGCTCATTTGCTTGAGGTCCAGTCTTCGGAGGTGACCATCTTTCTCAAATTATTTTTTTGTTGATGCATCCTAGACAAAGTCAGAAATGCGGTTGCAAATCCAGTTTTTGCAGGCTTGATCAAATTCTTTAAATTTGTATAGCGCCTCATTATGTTTGGCAACGTAGGCCAGTTGTAAATGTAGCCATGTACTGCAATATCCCTTTCAAATGTCTTTTTCAGTCGAGGTATCTTGAAAATGTCTTATAACATCAAGTCCAAGCAATGAGCAGCACATAATGTCCAATACAAGTGTTCCTACTTGGCTTCCAAAAACCTCCCTATAATGTTACAACTATGAAGAATTATTATTTTCAAATTTTTAAATTTTAAATACAAAACAAACTATGAGTAAATAATTTTGACGTAAGGAAGGAGGAAATATTCGTACCCGCCAACACATTAGCTGCAGCCTGCAGCACTATCAGTGATAACTTGCACCACATTCTCTTTTCTAACTTTTTCCACAAACTTGTCTAGTAATTCAAATAGTTTCGGCCCATCCTTTGAATAGCTAGAAGCATCAACCGACTCAACAAACATGGTTCCTCTTGGACAATTAACTAAAAAGTTAATCAATGTCCTCCCTCCCTTATCAGTCAAGCCATCAGCCATTATGGAACACCCGTATTTTGCACAATTCTCTTTATGATTCTTCATCAAATCTTCAATATGTTTCACCTCTTTTTTGAATTGGGTAACCCGCACTTCATGGTAAGTTGGTGGCTTCATACCGGGACCATATTGCCCAATGGCTTCAATCATTGGTCCAAAACTCTCATAATTTACTGCATTAAAAGGGATACCAGGATCATACATCCACCTTGCAAATCTTTGCACTGTCCGAGCTCTCATTTCTTTTTTTGTAAGGGTCATTCGCATCAATTTTGGTTTGCTTCCCTTTTGCTTGGTCTCTTCGATTTTTCACCATTAATTCAGAATTGGGTGTGAAGTAAACATCCATTAGCCCTTTTCTCTTTGGCATTTTTGATATGGATTTGGATTTGGATGAACCTTGGTTGTTACTTGTCAATTTACAGCATTGATTGACATTGATCTCAACATCAACATCAACATCAACATCATCTTCATCTTCATCTTCATCTTCATCTTCATCTTCATCTTCCATGTCCATGTCATCAAAATTAGGCAACATGTTCATTTCTTCTTTTTCTGTCTTCTTTTTTGACATTGAGCTCTCTAATCTCCTCTTACATGAGCTGGATACTTCGGGCAAGCAGTGACATTCCTATAACCTCCCGTGAGGTGTTGTTTCACCTGATAAACACCTCCATTTGATACTTTACCACAAAAATTACACTCAAACTTGTTTTAATTATTCTCCTCTACCAAATGGGCATGTTGCCCTGCCAGATTTTTCTATTATTTTCCGATGTCATTTTCTACACAAGAAATTTAATAAATGGAAAATAATTTCAGTGTAATGTAATGTAATGTGTGATTAATTAATTATTTGTATTTTTTTTCCCTAATAGGAAAAGGGAAAGGAAAAAAAAAAAAATAGAGACCAATAGAACAATGTATTAATTAATTATTTGTGAATAATTAATTATTTGTAAAAAAAAATTTAGTGTATTTTTTTAGTTAATCAATCAATAATATAAGTCTTATTTTGTATTTGTATTTTTTTTTTTTTTTTGTTTGGTCTTCAGTTATGTTTGGTTTATTAAATATAATTGAATAGAGTAATTATTCCATCATAATGTTCATTTTCATGTTTGATTTACTAAAAAAAATTACAAATGAAGTCGCCATTCACCATTGTGAGGGAATAATAATTTTATAAAGAGATCAAGGAATAATCATTTTATTGAATTCAATTTCATTTTAGTGAACCCAGTGTTTTTAAAGGCTTAAGGCGCACCAAGGTGCTGAAAGTCTCTCGAGGCCTAGGCGCAAGGCGAGGCACGGACTTTATTGAAGTGAGGCACACACATAATTTTAAAAATAAGACATATAGTACTAAGACAATTTTTTTTTAAAATAAAAAGTAATCAAGATTCAAGACAAATTATAGAATAATTTTCAAAGCCATAAAAGTGCATATTACATAGCATTCCAATTTTCAAAAATAAAATAATCTACATTAAAAAAAAAAAAAAAAATCCAAAGCATAAATATCCAATAAATACTAATATATGTTTTAACACTTAAAAACATCAATATCGTAAGAAATGATAGATTAGGTCGGTCAGTCAATTATCATCCTCAACATCAATGGCAAGCAAACTATCATCTTCTTCTCCATCAGTTGATTTATATCCCTCAACATCTTCCTCCTCTGTGTCATCTGAGCCCACTTCCTCTTCATCTATTAATTGAAGTGGAGTTAATCTTGATGATTTAGATATCCTCGGTTGTGCCTTTGAGCGTGAACTTGTTGCTCTACTTGCATGGCTACTTTCTTCTACTCTAGAAGCTCTAGCAATAGTGGCCCACATCAAGCCATCATCATCGTCAAACATTGGCTCATTATCTTCATCTGATTCTCCATCCATCCTTTCAAGCAACCACTCATTGCTTTTATCAATATTTTGCAAAGATATGGGATCAAGAGTGTTGCGCATGTCATACAATCTCAATGTTCTATTATATTTGAGAAACACTAAATCATTGATGCGACGTTGTTCCAATCTATTTCTTTTCTTGATATGAAGCTGCAAGTATTGAAAAGATATTAAATTCTATATAATGAGAATAAAAAATATTTGATTCAACAAAAAATTAGTTAGGATGTTAAATACTCACATGTTCAAATACACTCCAATTTCGTTCACAACCCGATGAACTACATGTTAGGGTAAGGACTTTTATGGCAAAAGTTTGCAAGTTTGGGGTTTTAGAACCATATGATGCCCACCAATCAGCTGCAATAATCACTAGTTAGAAATAATTGTTATCAAGTATTGAGTTTTACTAAAAGTATTACTAAAAATAAACTCTATGAGTTTATAATATATTACCTGGTGCCCTTGTATTTCTTTGCCTAATTGCAACAGGCTTGCCAAAAAGGCTCTCAGCCTTCGTATAAATACTCATTTCATTAGTGATCAAATCTTGAACAGTGACATCCGGGACCAACCTTAACCCATTCATCACTTCATGATCTTTTTGCACCTCTAAAGCTTTTGTGTAAAAGAATTCTAGGTTAAGAAAGTGTGCAGCTACATGTAAAGGTTGTTGCAATTGGACATACCATCTTTTGTCGATGATTTCGAAGATTTCATTATACTTTTCTTTTTTATGATCATATGAACTTGCAATGCATTCTTTTGCCCTATCCATTGTCTCATAAATGTATCCCATGGGAGGTTTCTTCTCGGTATCAACCAACCCGAGAGGAGGACCTGAGACCTTAAGGGCAAACACAATAGTATTCCCAAATGAAGGTATTAACAAAGTTTGTACCATTCTTTTACCTTGTGGCTCCTTTGCTCATTTGCTTGAGGTCCAGTCTTCGGAGGTGACCATCTTTCTCAAATTATTTTTTTGTTGATGCATCCTAGACAAAGTCAGAAATGCGGTTGCAAATCCAGTTTTTGCAGGCTTGATCAAATTCTTTAAATTTGTAAAGCGCCTCATCATGTTTAGCAACGTAGGCCGATTGTAAATGTAGCCATGTGCTGCAATACCCCTTTCAAATGTCTTTTTCAATCTAGGTATCTTGAAAATGTCTTCTAACATCAAGTCCAAGCAATGAACAGTACATGGTGTCCAATACAAGTGTTCATACTTGGCTTCCAAAAACCTCCCTATAATGTTACAACTATGAAGAATTATTATTTTCAAATTTTTAAATTTTAAATACAAAACAAACTATGAGTAAATAATTTTGACGTAAGGAAGGAGGAAATATTCGTACCCGCCAACACATTAGCTGCAGCCTGCAGCACTATCAGTGATAACTTGCACCACATTCTCTTTTCTAACTTTTTCCACAAACTTGTCTAGTAATTCAAATAGTTTCGGCCCATCCTTTGAATAGCTAGAAGCATCAACCGACTCAACAAACATGGTTCCTCTTGGACAATTAACTAAAAAGTTAATCAATATCCTCCCTCCCTTATCAGTCAAGCCATCAGCCATTATGGAACACCCGTATTTTGCACAATCCTCTTTATGATTCTTCATCAAATCTTCAACATGTTTCACCTCTTTTTTGAATTGGGTAACCCGCACTTCATGGTAAGTTGGTGGCTTCATACCGGGACCATATTGCCCAATGGCTTCAATTATTGGTCCAAAACTCTCATAATTTACTGCATTAAAAGGGATACCAGGATCATACATCCACCTTGCAAATCTTTGCACTGTCTGAGCTCTCATTTCTTTTTTGTAAGGGTCATTCGCATCAATTTTGGTTTGCTTCCCTTTTGCTTGGTCTCTTCGATTTTTCACCATTGATTCAGGATTGGGTGTGAAGTAAACATCCATAAGCCCTTTTCTCTTTGCCAATTTTGATATGGATTTGGATTTGGATGAACCTTGGTTGTTAGTTGTCAATTTACGGCATTGATTGACATTGATCTCAACATCAACATCAACATCAACATTATCATCATCATCATCATCATCATCTTCATCTTTATCTTCCATGTCCATGTCATCAAAATTAGGCAACATGTTCATTTCTTATTTTTCTGTCTTCTTTTTTGACATTGAACTCTCTAATCTCCTCTTACATGAGCTGGATACTTCGGGCAAGCAGTGACATTCCTATAACCTCCCGCGAGGTGTTGTTTCACCTAATAAACACCTCCATTTGATATTTTACCACAAAAATTACACTCAAACTTGTTTCAATTATTCTCCTCTACCAAATGGGCATGTTGCCCTGCCGGATTTTTTCTATTATTTTCCGATGTCATTTCCTACACAAGAAATTTAATAAATGGAGAATAATCTCAGTGTAATGTAATGTGTAATTAATTAATTATTTATATTTTTTTTTCCTAATAGGGAAAGGAAAAAAATAAAAAAATAAAAAATAGAGACCAATAGAACAATGTATTAATTAATTATTTGTGAATAATTAATTATTTGTAAAAAAAAATTTAGTGTATTTTTTTAGTTAATCAATCAATAATATAAGTCTTATTTTGTATTTGTATTTTTTTTTTTTTTTTTCTAATAGAGACTCAAAGGCATAGTTGAACTAAAAAAACAAAAAAAAACAAAAAACAAAAAACAAAATAGAGCAAGTTAGAGACAGACAAAGCAGCCCAGGGAGAGAGAGAGAGAGAGAGAGAAGGAAAAAAAAAACAGCCGACACAGATTAGGGGAAGAAGAAGAAGAAGGAGAGAGAGAGAGAGAGAGTCGAAGTCGAAGAAGCAGAAAGAAAAAAAAAAGAAAAAGACGACACTGATTAAGGGAAGAAGAAGTCGCAGCACACCTGGAATGTCGAAGTCGACGTTGCAGTTCAGCAACCCAGTCGAAGTCGAGAGAGGAAGAGACGACATAGATTAGGGATTTCATTTGAGTCGTATTGGGGTTGTATTATATATGAGTTGTAATCCTCTGTGGTTAGAGCCATTCGAACACACCATAGTCGTTAGATCAGAATTAGGGCTTAAACCATCAAGCGCACCTAGGCGCGAGCCTTGCGCCTATCTCGCCTGCTTCAAGTCGCGCTAAGGCGCGCTACTGCTTCAAAGCACCTCGCCTGGGACCTGTTCAGGCGTACAGTCTGTGCCTTGCTGCGCCTTGCGCTTAGGCGCGCTTTTTACAACACTGAGTGAACCAAATACTATATTATAGTATTAGTAGTTTAAAAATGAAGATTTGAACAAACAATTGAATTGGTTAATAATTTAAAAATAATAGATGTTTGCTTGCCAAATGTATGAATAATTTATATAATATTATTTGACTATTTGAGTTACAATTGTTTTTGGAAAAATAATTTTTTTAAGTTAAAGTTAATCAAATTTTACAATTTAATTTACTATGTCAAGAAAAGTGTGAATAACTTAATAGTGTTAACAATTGAGGTGCGCTTAAGCTAGTTCGAACATCCGGTTATCCAAAAAAAATTGAAAATGTTCAAAATTTATCTCAATAATTATGATTTATGTCAATAATTATGTGTTCCATATGGAACAAATTTATAGAAGGTACAAGCAAAAAATAAAAAATAAATTGAAGATTATTATTATTTTATCAATATATATATTTTTAAATATGTACAACAGTCGAGGCCCCATCTTCTGAGTTCGCCTTAGGTCTACAAAAAATCAAGGCTGACCGTGATCTATATCCTTATCTGTATCCATACTTCATAGGTGATTTAAATTCCTTAATGTCCAAGTGTTAGGCCTCTTCTTTACATCTTTGCAAAGTGCTGGTCCTTTTAGGCCAAGCTTTTGGTCCCAACTGGTTGTGAGTTTATGATATTGTTTTCAGTGAGACCCCTTTATTTTGGGCGAAGTTAAAGATTGTATTACACCTATAATTGCTGGTCAATTCCAGCATTTATGTTTTAACTTCATCTGACCATTAATGATTTGATGTAGTTGTGACATGGCTTGGATGGTCTAAATTGGTAAGCTAGCATGTATTTGTGTATTTTGACATGAATGTCAAATATTAAACACATCATGAGATTCATGCTGTCAAGATTACCTAATTAAGATCTGCAGTTTGAGCATGGATTATTCTGTTGTAGGTGATTGTCTTGCAAAAAAGTCTAGAAGAGAAGGATGATGAGATCGAAAGGTTGAAGCATGAGTTGCACCAGAGGAGCATAACAGAGGAGACGACAACAACAGAGGTAGCAGCTTTGGACAATAAAGTCGGTGATGCAGAGATGCCATCTGGTGAAGCACAAACAGAAAATTAGTTAACTTGGCTGTCCTAAAAGAAATCCTTGTACATTAGATTTTGGAGTTTCTTTTTATTTATTTTTATTTAATTCAACTGTCTTTTTATTTCTTTTAACTGCCTATCATGCAATATGCCCTTCTACCTTCCCCTAAGATGGCTGATTGAGGAGCTGAAAAATGGGAACTGGGAAGTAGCTAAACCTGTCATGTTTTTTGAACATGTGCCTTACTGCAGAGGTTGGGGATTTGAGATTCCATCGGAAACTCTTGAAGTAATGTCTGTTAGTACTGGGACTGAAGTTGAGTAGTTGAGTCAAGTTGTTTGCTCTTTAGAGGTCAATGGTTCAAGTGGGTGTTGAACCATTTTGTTCCCTTGCACATCACCTTGAGGGGGGAATTATGGAGGAGTTTATGTGAGACAGTATTAGAATTCTCCGATACAATAGATTTAGCAGCAAGATTTGGCTTGTGTGACGGAAGTGGCATTCTTCCGGAAGTTTTATTCTCTGGTGTGGTGTCAATTCTGTAATGATCATACAAAGAACATGTTCATTCCTGAGAGTTATATTTTGTATGCTACTATGAAATTCTGTTTCTTATACTATGGATTTTAATTGATTAATAGGTAGGAGCATGATTTAATTTGGACCAGTTAAAGTTCCTATTATGTTGCTGATTACATTTTGTTTTTTATTCTCCTTTCAGATAGGTTTAAACAAGTTAAGTTTGAATAAATTTTAAAATTAAGTTTTTAAATCAGGGTTGAACAATTTATTACACAAAACATTATAAAGAACCAAGTTACATAATCTTGATTCATGTTTATTTTGTTAAAAACTTGTTTGAAATCTACTTTATTAAACAAATCAAACTTGTACAACTTACCATTCAACTAAACTTAGCTCATTCTCAATCCTAACTTGTACCTCTTAGTTTATTGAAATTTCTTGAGAAACTTGTTGAATTTCAAAGACAGTTTTTTAATAATGTTATATACGTAAGATTCTGCATTTTACAAAAACAAAAATGATCTTTCAAGGCTTATGAATAACCAACACAATCGTATTGAATCATAACTTTCAAGGGATTGCACCCCGCTTAAACCCCATGTTCATGTGCATTTTTGTACCCATAATGTAATCCATCATTTTACTAATCACAAGCAAAATGCTGTCCATCAAAAAATTTACAAAAAATATCAGGAAAAAAAAAGCTGTTACGCTCAAAAGAAACAACATAGGATTCTACTGGGGAAGCCACTTCGATGATATATTTTTGTATAACCTCCACAAACAAAAACAGAGTCGGTGAAGATGATTCCAACAAGTTTCAGATATGTTTTCTCCTGTCATGATCCCACCCCAAACCTGCATTTCCTTTGTTTCCGACTGCCTGTAATGGTTCCAACAAACCCTTTGAACTGCTTCCAAGTGCCTCCCCCTGGTGCCCACAATGGGAAAAACATTAGGAGAGCTCTGTTACAGCTAGGGAAGAAGATCGTTCGTTGAGCAAGAACAGTTCTTAGAAGAAATGACTGTATCTCAAATACTCAAGAAATGAATTAAGTGAATTACAACTTCTCAATGCAAAGTCATCTCCTTATCCTAATTATAACAGAGGTTACAATTTGTTACAACTATCATAACTAACCAACTAACAAACAAATTCTCACTAACACTACTTCATCCAATCAAACATCATCCTATTATCTAATTAATTACGGTTAGAAATCTCTAACACCAAATCAGAAATGGTTAAACACAAAAGTTTAAGTGGTTCATCCCAAACTAGGGCTACATCCACAACTGTTGCACAAGAGATCACGCCTCCCCTCAACTATACATATATTCATAGAAATTAGAGCAACAGATCACAAATGCAAAAATACTGAAAATACCCTTACTCCGCAGTCGCTTGGTTAGTGTTCAGTATCAAGATTCACACCAAGTTCAGCTTAGCTGAATACAATAATTGGCTGGCCTATATAAAACTTTACAACTGTTACCAAACTTATTGCTACTGTTCCATGTCCGAGTTGCTTGCTTATTGTGACTTCCGTTTATTAGTGTTCCTTAGAATTTCAAAGATTAATGTTAAAATATTTTCTTCATTTTGACTTGTAAACTTTCAAAACAATAAACATGCTTTAAAAGGTGGATCCATTGCTTATTGTGACTTCCGTTTATTAGTGTTCCTTAGAATTTCAAAGATTAATGTTAAAATATTTTCTTCATTTTGACTTGTAAACTTTCAAAACAATAAACATGCTTTAAAAGGTGGATCCATTGCTTATTGTGACTTCCGTTTATTAGTGTTCCTTAGAATTTCAAAGATTAATGTTAAAATATTTTCTTCATTTTGACTTGTAAACTTTCAAAACAATAAACATGCTTTAAAAGGTGGATCCATTGCTTATTGTGACTTCCGTTTATTAGTGTTCCTTAGAATTTCAAAGATTAATGTTAAAATATTTTCTTCATTTTGACTTGTAAACTTTCAAAACAATAAACATGCTTTAAAAGGTGGATCCATTGCTTATTGTGACTTCCGTTTATTAGTGTTCCTTAGAATTTCAAAGATTAATGTTAAAATATTTTCTTCATTTTGACTTGTAAACTTTCAAAACAATAAACATGCTTTAAAAGGTGGATCCATTGCTTATTGTGACTTCCGTTTATTAGTGTTCCTTAGAATTTCAAAGATTAATGTTAAAATATTTTCTTCATTTTGACTTGTAAACTTTCAAAACAATAAACATGCTTTAAAAGGTGGATCCATTGCTTATTGTGACTTCCGTTTATTAGTGTTCCTTAGAATTTCAAAGATTAATGTTAAAATATTTTCTTCATTTTGACTTGTAAACTTTCAAAACAATAAACATGCTTTAAAAGGTGGATCCATTGCTTATTGTGACTTCCGTTTATTAGTGTTCCTTAGAATTTCAAAGATTAATGTTAAAATATTTTCTTCATTTTGACTTGTAAACTTTCAAAACAATAAACATGCTTTAAAAGGTGGATCCATTGCTTATTGTGACTCTGTGTGAAGAGCTCAGTCTAACCTAAACCAGCAACATTGCTCAAACTTGTTTACTCTAGGCTCCAGAACTCAACTGAATTAAGATTTTATTAAGTTTTATCTCCAATTATTTGGGTAGAAAACATTTTCTAACAAGAAACATTTTCTACAAAAACCTTTTTCCGAAAAAAAATTTCTGGACAAAATATTTTTCTATGTTTGGAGGTGGTGGCGGTGGGATGGCGGAGGAGGTGGAGGTGGAGGTGAGAGTGACAGTGGTAGTGTGGTGACATTGGTAAAACTTTAGTCCGGAAAACATTTTCCACACAAATAGGCTTATTTTTCGTTGATCATGAAAAATGTTTTCTGTTTTTGTTTTTCATCGTACCAAACGCCCAAAAAAATGGAAAGCATTTTTCAAAAAATGTTTTCCGCCCAAACAAACGGAGCATTAAAGTTGTTTACTCTAGGCTCCATCAAAAGAAGAAAACAAAGAGGAAAACAAAAACTTAAAGCAAGATTTTTTGATGCAAAACAAATTTTATCGATGCAGTGCTATATCATATGTAAAGCAGCTTAAACCTATAATTCTCTCCTATATTTTTCTCTAATATTACTGTTTCATATGCCTGGATAAATAAGACTATGCACAAGAAGGTACAGTTTCAGCTTCAAGCCAAGCTTCTATGCTGCAGAACTTACATTATTAGATGCACAGAATTGAACTGGCAATGAAGGCAAATCCTTGTGAACGGGGGCACCCTTTATCATCTTCGCTTCACAGTTTCCACCCGATCCGGGTGGGGCTTGGATTTTCCCATCAATTGACAATTCTGGGAAGCCCCAATCTTTAGTTGGGTTGGAGGAATCATAAGTTGACAAGGAGGCCAAGTATTTTGCACTAGGACTCCTCAACTTATACACCTGCCCTGAAAAAAGCAAATTTAAGTCATATCAATTATAGTCATTAACACCAAATTAGGGGAGAGAAGTGAAACAGTGCAAATTGAGAAAAATCAAAATGACTTAAAATTTAAAAATAGAAGTGACAGTAGAACATGTTAGGGGGGAAAAAATTATTATATCAAAAGCACTCAAAAACGCAACCAGATTCTTGTCTAAAAAGCTTCAAAGAGATTAGCAGGGATCCAAAATTTCCCCAAAAGAATCTATTTGGTGCAACACCAAGATGGATGATTAAATTTTTTACCATTTTGCTTCACAATGTAATTCCAGCAGAGAATCCTATGTAGTTCAGGAGTATTATCTTTTAGAATCAGAAGATCTAAATTCTATGACCTTGATTTTTGGCACACCATGTGATAGCAACAAAATGATGGGTCTTCACCAAAAATGATGTTTGATTTAAGGAACTCAATTCAGTTGACATTTACTGGATAATTCTTTAATCCTTTATAGTTCCATTTGGTTGTAACAAGGGAAAGAAATAATTGATATATTGCACACCAATAATCACAAAGAAACAGTTGTCAGCATATTTTGCCCACAACAAAATGGACCATTTAGAAAAAATAGAAAAAATCACCTTGAATTAAGTGCATAACCATCAACTTTGTTGTCAAATGAAATAGAGGCAAATAGCAAACCTGACGTAACTCGTACCAGGTCAAGATGCACTTCACATATTGGAGCAGTTTTCAGCAGACCACCACCCGAAGGCATTGAGGGGTGAAGCCTAGCGGATTGTCTCACCAATCGGCCTACCAGCCTGGCAACCTGATTTTTTCCATCCTTTCTTGTTCTTGTGACAATTGACCAATCCCATAAATCTATCACTTTGAAATCTGGGACTGACTCTTCACCAGAACGAATGACTTGACCATACTGAGCACGCCAGTTTTCTTCATCCCAAGAAGCACCTGTGGGGTGGGGAGAAGCTAAGACACATCAACTCAAACACTGTGCAACTACTATGTTAACTACATTCAACAGATGCTAACTATACACTTGAGAAAAGAAGGAAAAAAAAAAAAAACAGACACAAGGGTGGCAACAAGAAAAAAATGAAACAAAAACAAGATTGTAAACCGTGATAGGTTCATAAAGCAAAGCAAAGGGTCCTTATTCCCTATAAGTTTCTTATCAATACAATTCTGAAGTATGTAGCTCTTTAAAAGGAGAATTGGGCAGTAGGGTGGAGAGTTGAGGGTGAGTAGGCTGGTCATGGAGCCCTCTGGAATGTATGGTGGTCGCTGAGATGGTGCTATGGAGATGGTTTAGCTGAGAAAGGAGTTGGTCTTAGAGAGAGAGAGAGAGAGAGAGCAGTAGTGGAAGTCTGGAGGCAATGAACCAGGTCCTCCAATCTACCTACAGAGGGGTTAGGCTATGAAGCTGGCTCAACCTAAATGTGCAGAAGGCACAAAGACGAGCAGGTAAAGGGACAAGTGGCTACCTCTGATTGGCCTGGCAACTTATTAGTTGAAAGCTAAAGGAGCTGTGCTACTCATGGATGATGTCAGGAGACATATCATCATAGTGCATGTTTACATGTACAAGCCAAGAGACAGTAAGACAACTGTGAACCCAAATCAGTGAACTATAATATGATATCATATTAAAGAGTAATATCTAAGTGATATAGACCTTCATCTGAGATACTTTCACTTGAATCATTTACTCCATGATCTTCATCTGGTATCCATTCACCTTCTTCTAATTCACGAGTATCATTGTTTCCTACACGTTGACAGAACAGACATTTAAGTTCTCTCCAAATGTAGTAGTCTCTACCCAAATCATACATAAATATGTTGACAAACCTTCAACTGACAGACCTAAGTTATCCCTTTGATCAGTTTCCATGGGCATCATCACATCATGAACAACATCAGTTGCTTGGTTGGAATAACCCGATAAATAAAGATCAATAAGTGTATCTTCTAACCTGACAAAAATTATTTATATTTGTTAGGACAGGATATTTGAAGCAACTCAAGGGTCAAAACTGAAGAGAACGAACAGGTAAAGTAGCATACCATTCTGATGGTGGAGGTGGACATTCAGACTCAGTCATTTGACTGCTGTTGCACTCAATGCAGACTGTTAAAAATGCAGCATAAATAGGTTAATTAACAAAAATATCAGCTGATCAGGCCACTGCGTTAAGGCCCCAAAACAATGCATGTACAAGCGTTTAAATACACACACACACACACATATATATATGATTATCATATTATAGGATACCCCAATGATTATAGCTATAAATCTGCCATTTTATGATATTATCGACAGGATACACAATTCTACGAAACAGAATGCAGTGGTAACAGTAGATGTGGTGTTAACAGTAGGTGGTGACAAGTAGCAGCAGCCTTACAGGGCAGTGATGGCAATGATGCAATGTGGCAGAACACAAAGTAAGAACTGCATGCACAATACCTGTATGAAAAGTAAACCAAAAAGTAGATTTCAATCAGCCACCTATCAACTTCTAAAGATTTTATATTTTCTGTCTCAAAGCTGTAGATGAAATGGACAGTCAATATGTTGTCTGCTCTGGTTGAGAAATTTCAAGCTTCAAGCACTATCTTGTAGACACCCCATTTTGATTGGCTATAATACTTAGGTATGACGCCAAATCACCAGCCTATGATTACATTTTTGTTTAGTTGTTGCGGTTGCGCAAAGGTGATTGGATGATGGTAATAGGTAGGATTTGGAAAGTCCCCAAAGACCCTTATTTTTTTTAATTAATGTGGGAATTTTCCTTTAGAAATTATGGACCTATTTTCAAACATATGGAACTTTCGCTTTTCAAAAGTTAAGTAAATTCAATCTCTTTGGATAAATCCTTGGGTGGACTCACTAGGGGGTTGCCACTCAAATCCTAAGATGTTATTGCTTAAGGTTGAATTCACCTTTTAAAGCATATGTGTGATTCCTCTAGGGATGAGATTCTATCCCACTATCTAGATCAAATCATCTTTATTTTATGTGATAAATTGTCATTCACACATTAAGGCCAAATAAATCTAATGAAACAAACTAACAATGTTGAGTAGAGGCCGACCTTATGGCCGGATAAGATGGGTGCCTCACACCTGACTTTGTATCCTAGCCAAACTTTACAAATCCCATCAAGTCAAGCCCACCATAGCACACGTTTAAAGTGTGACCCAAGGTGTAGCCTCTATGGAGTTGGCAAACTTATTCTAGAAGAAATGGTGATTTCTCACATGGTTATCAACTTGGACGTGGCAATACTATGATTGTATACTCATAGCAATAAATGTGTCCTATCTTACCTGTAGGGGGATCATCGGCAACAGTTCCTAGTTTATCTGCTTCAGATTCACCTGTTTGAAATAATGAGTAATCCACATCTTTATGAGAATGTACATGTGCATCAGGGTCATCTTGAATGGAATTATTAGGAATGCTGTTTACACACTGATACGTTTCAGATAGATCACCCTGAAATGATGTAACAAAAGAACTTAAAATAACAAACTTAAATAATGAAAAGTCAACAGCATCAGATAACAGTGCGTCAATTGTAACCACATTGTCTGAAATACAGTCAAAATAAGGCAATGATACCTGGTCAGACCCCAACAGCACATAGTTCTCGTTTTCAAATTTGTAATAGAGACCGTCTCTACTACTGTAATACCAGCCCGCAACGGGATCATGATAAAATCCACTACTGCAGCATATTCAGACAGAATAATGTCATGAAATTATTAATAACAAAATTACAATAAATATGTAATAAGCTGAGTGAGGTGCTAGTCAACTTAGGTGGTGAAATCTTTTGGTATTGTTACAATGAATTGGGCTTTAATTTCACTGGCATCCAGGTAAGGGGAAGAAGTTACCCTGATGTGTAGCCAAGTACATGTACATGTACATGTACATATAAACCATACACATAAGTAGCACTGCTTCGTGCAATCACAAAAGCTCGGGATGCCAAGCTTGAGAAACACAAGTTCAAGTATGAGAGCAACCACATTGTGCAAATGATGCCATAGGTTAGGTCTATCTCCAGTCTTATCCCTCATAGAACTTTTGATTAATGGGGACCAACACTAGGTAATGTAAAATATGTTATACACAAAGCAACCCAAGTAGTATGAGATTGAAATTTCTCATCATACTAGATACATAACATGGAAAGTAAAAACTAGATTAGTTTTTTAAGGTTCACACACCGCTTAGCTACTCCAAAAAAAAGAAAAAAAAAAAAGGGCAATGCATTTAAAAGATTATTCAGAGAGGATTGAGACCCTCATTTTGAGACTTGTAGACAATGTGAAAACATAAGCCTGCTGAATTTACTCATAGAATTCATTTTCTTACGTCATTTGACAGTTTGACTACTCCAATAACAAATGGTATCTATGAATTACTTATAGTGTAAGTTGTGTTACATGGACTCTTCTATTTCCCCCATAATACCCGTGTCCATTGGATATGACATGGGTAAGGGTGTGGCTAAGAAGCACGGATAGAGATACGAATGCGGATATGGATGCGGATACGGACATAGACACAGGCACGGATGCGGATGTGGATTTGAGACATGGCAATTTTAAAAAAATAGGAACACAGACACGATAGAGACACGGCAATAAAATATGTTTTCATATATTTTTATTTGATATTTAGATTAATATTACATCTACAAACAATTATTATCAAAAACTAACTCTAATTCTATTTTATTTTTTAAAAAAAACATTTTTAAATTAATACTTACAATTTATATCTTTTTTTTATGAATAATTTATTAAGTATTTAAATCTAAGGAAAAAAAAAAAAAAAAACATTCAACATTTATCAAAAACACTAAATAAAATGGGAGAAAAGACAGCTTGGCATGTCCCTAGTGTGTCCCCGAAATGTCCTGGTGTGTCCCTTGAAAATAAATTAATTAAATAAAGGGACATGCCATGTGGTGTGTCCCATACGTATTCCCGAGGTGTCCACGAAGTGTCCGTGTGTCCGACACAGATACAGCACTTATTTTGAAGTGTCGGTGCTTCATAGGGGTGTGAGATATGTGTCCGACACTTGTACCTAATTTAGACACTTTGATCTTTTAATTTGTTACAATATATGAGACGAAGAAACTCACATTTGCTAATAAAGCAATATTTTTAGTCTCTCAAATTAATTAGATATAGAAATTTTATATTTTTTCTTGAATCCTAACATCAAGTATATTTTTATATAATTTACAACATTTCATCTAAAAATATTATATAATATGCAATATATATGTGTATATGACGTGTCTCCGTACCCATATCCAATTTTGAATACGTATCTCAAGATCCTAAGATTTAAATTTATGAAGGTCTAACGCTTGGATACACACCCACACCGGACACTCGTACTCAAGTCCATGTAGCATAGCCATTAAGTAAACTGCAAACAAAATGCAAGAGTTCATTGGAGGTACCCATCCCCCTAAAGTGCTTGCTTTGATTGCACATCTAGGACCAAGCTGTTCTTTATTTTTCTATGAATTTCTTGACAACCCCCATGTATGATGCCCATCAGAGGCAGAAAATTCAATTAGTACCTCCATATTTCATAGTATGTATAAAATGCATAATGAGGTGAACCTATAATTTTATGAAAATCACTTACTAATATCCTCTATATCATAAACATTTCTCATTGTATAATGAGATGATCAAATTCTACTTAATAGCATCATCGAGTCAATTTAATTTATACAAGAGATCCATATCACTTCTTTATCTTTTTTAAAATTTTAAAAATCAAAGCAATATGTATGCTTTTTATTTACTAGATTAGGTCAACTAATGGTGGTATAATCGATTATAGCTCAAAATTTTAGAAAAGAATGAAAAAATGACTTGTTAGATTTATTTAATTTTCTCCTTCTGTAATATTATTTTCACAACGCTTATGTAAGAAATTATCTTCGATTATTCATGTTCCAAAACTAACTCAGTGTTTTTTATTTTATTTTATGCACACACATAGTAACCCCCTATATTCGGTTTGTAAAAAGAGGTTTCAGGCTCGATTCTCACACTGTTTAATTAGAACCCTCCGACTTCAAACCTATAAGGGCATACAGAGCTTTAAAATAAGGAATTGTTTTCGAATACACATTACAATCCAACCTTTTTGAGCATGAACAATGGCAGCTCAAATCTTTTCGATTGATTAGTGACTCTACACTTGTCATTGTAGCTTCTTCACAACCACAAAGCATTGAAAAGCTCATGGATACATATATTACGAATCGATTTTGTTGTTTAGCGAATCATCATAGAACAATTAGGAATAATAAATAACGAAAAACATGAGGGGGTAACGTGAATTATGCTAAGGAAATTAGGGATTGTAAAAACCCTAATTTGTGTAAACAAAAGAGGAAAATTAGAATGTAAGTATTGAAGTGTATTGATATTGAATTAGAAAGACAAACCTGGCATCGTAGAATAGCTGAGATTTGTCATCCCATTGAAAGGAGCTTCCATTTCTCTGCGATTCCTCAGAATCGGCTTCACTTGTTCCGGCCATTTCACTCATCCACCCTCTGTGTACGTATGTAGTACGTCTGCCATATATTTTTATATATTTTTAATTCCTTGAAAATTTAAAAAGTATATTTATATATATATATACATTAGTGTATATATATATATATATATATTTAAATTACATATACATTCATCCATAAATTTAGAGTGCAAATTTTAGTTTGCCCCCATGGTTCAACTCAAGCTTCGTGAACTTTAATGGCCAACAGTAAAACCAATACACAGAGTGCTACACTTAGCATATGGTTAGCTCATAGATTGGTTGTCCAAATCTAGAACTTTTTTGATGCTTGTATATGTCTTTTCTCAATTATTTTGCTGGATTTTTGATCAATTGAGTGGTTGGGTCAGTAGGACATTGGTTAAAGTTTGTAATAAATTTTTGGTTTGCTATATATGATATCTAAACGAGCCGAGCTTATGCGAGCTCGAGCTCGGCTCGTTTATTTAAATGAGCCTAATATTCGAGCTCGAGCTCGACTCGTTTACTAAACGAGCCGAGCCGAACTTGTTCATGAACAGCTCGGTTCATTTGCAGCCCTAGGTATAAATAATGATACTGAAAAAAAATATATTGAAATATTTTTCTTCTTAGAGAACTTGTAATAATTTTGCTTGTATTACACGCTTTACAAAACTCAAATAAAATAACAACTCACCCCAACCTAAATATAAATTAAGAAACAAAAGCCAAACATTCCTTGAGTGAGAAAGATGCAGTTATGATGGCATGACTTTAATAAATTTGAGAACTAAAAGCCAAACACAATCTTACTTATGAAGATGGCGGTTCACTCTTTAGGAACTCATTCTGTTTGAGCATTCATGAAAATGAGGTCTGATACAACTATTCTTATATTGTTGGTATAGTAAAAATGTGTAAGCATTCAACAAAAAAAAGAAAAGAAACTGAAAAATGTCTAAGTTAGATGTTGCAAACATTCTATCATTATATCATAGACAAACTAGTTTTCTAACACATTGGTTAAATCATACCTACTGTTTTCTAATCATTATACTAACCTAACACATTGGTTAAATCATACCTACTGTTTTCAACGTGTTTGATGGAGGTTAGTTTTGAAATTCAAACCCCAATTGCAACACTAATTAATTCAAAAACAAACATAGCTATCAGCCATACCTACTATAATTAACAGTCGAGTTCAAAGGGTTGGGAAGGAGAAGAGGAGAGAAACACGTAATCAACATAATCAACAACCCCAATTTCTGAGAATCACAACTGAACAAATAATGAAAAATACAATTGAAAATTCACAACAACCATTGAATCAAGATGGTACAAAGAAAGCTACCAAACATTTGGGATACAATGGGAAGCTTTTCCCTCATAGCAAAATTAAGAAAGTTCATCAGCAATTAACAAAATAATATGCAAAAAACTTTGAAAAACAAACAATTAGTCACAAATTCAGCTCATTTCAGTATATACTCAGAAAGCATACTAAAGCAGAAGCACCACAATCTTCATTCAAATAGAACAATTTTTATAAATTCAATCATCATAACATAAATCAATCAAACTCAAATGAATTCACACACATATGTGTAGACACATTAAAAAAACACTACAGATAGTTCAGTAAAAGTAAATCAAAGCCCCTCGCATTAAAAAATTAATAAATAAAAAAATAAAAAAACCTTTTTTTTTTCTTTCCCCTTTTGGGAAATCCAAATGGCCAGAAACTGAAGAACAAACCGAGTGCAAATCAATCAATCAAACCAAATTAAACTCAAAAGTTCCAACAAAACCCATGTTGAGAAGAAGTCATATGAAATTGTGGTTTAGAAGATAGATATAAAATGGGTACTTGGAATGGATGCATTTGATGGAGAAATCAAAAATCGAAATAAAACGCTTTACCTTAAATTCTATATCTATATCTCTCTATCTGTTTGCTTAAACAGGAAGCGAAGAAAAAGCTAACAGAAAATGAGAGACTATGAAGATAAACAAAACAAACCCACTTTTTTTTTTTTTTTGCTTTCACTTTGTATATCTTTTTAGTTTAGAGAGATTGTGCAAGCAACATCTTTAACATCTTTGCAGTGTTTTGGGGTGTTACAAAGCATGAGATGAGGTTATTGAGATTAATTCAGATAAGTAAGTATAAAAATAAATAATAAAGAAATTAATATTGAATTGCAAAGAAATTGTGAAATTGCATTATGGAAAATACAATTGTGGTGCTTTGGTGTTTCATAAAGCTAAAGTTTTGTCAACATTTGGGGTAAGCAGTTCAGATTATTCAGAATTAGATTCCTTTATTTTTGTATCATTTTCTGAGCAACCAAACAAACCACTAAGAAGTCAGGCAGTGACTTGAAGAAAAAACAAAAAAGGTTTCTAACAAATTGCTATCAAAATGGTAGGTAAACCTAAACCCAGAAGAGGTGTTCAAATGTTTTTTTTTTTTTTTCACACCTTTTGTGGATAACAAAACAGAGCAAAAAGAGAAGGAAAAAGAAATCACCTTGGTGAGAATCATTTAGTTCCCGCTCTAGAGTCGAAAATTTCTGTTTGGTAACTGGTAAAAACAATGCGGTCAACAAAGAAAGATGAGCGAGCAATTTCAGCTAAATCAAAAAACTGCAATAAGAGGAAACATGTGGCTAGCAAATAGATAAATAAAGCAAAAAAAGGAACTTAAACTAAAAAATTTAAGGAAAGAAGAATTCAAGCACATAAAGAAATCAATATGTTTGCAACATTCATAGGAAAATATTACTTCACAAGACAATAAAGAAACTGCAATGTTAGCAAACAGATAAATAAAGCAAAAAAAGGAACTTCAAGATGAAGAAACTGCAATGCCTTTATAATTAGGCTCTTGCTCTCAACATTATCATACCAAAAGGTTAAGGAAGAAACTGCAATGCCTTTAATAGGGGAGAAAAAAAAAATTACAACAGGATAATGGCAATTTGTGAGAAAAACATAAAGGGAAAAAAAAAAGGCATTGCAATGTTAGCAAACAAATAGATAAAGCAAAAAAAGGAACTTCAAGATGAAGAAACTGTAATGCCTTTATAATTAGGCGCGTGCTCTCAACATCATCATACCAAAAGATTAAGGAAGAAATTGTAATGCCTTTAATTGAAAAAAAATTAACTGAAAAAAAAATTGCAACAGGAACCACTGCAATCAGATTTGATGCTCAAAAGCAACACTATAAAATGATCATTCTATTTAATCAAAAACATAATCATTATACTATTTACCCCAATCTATCAAAAACAGAATCATTATACTATTTTTTGAATAAGAACATCTATACCAAGAAAAAGGCAAACAACCATTGTTCAGCTTTGGTGACCCACCATGAAACAAACTCAAAAACATCACCAGCCAAGTGATAATTATATTTTGATAACCACCATTAAGAAATCATTATACTATTTACCCTAATCTATCAAAAACAGAATCATTATACTATTTTTTGAATCAAAACATCTATACCAAGAAAAATGACATAGGCAAACAACTATTGTTGAGCTTTGGTGACCCACCATGAAACAAAATCAAAAACATCTATCTAAGTTCACAGAATTTTTGGTCTTAGATAGAGAGATACACTTTTGGATTTCAACTAAAATGTATTAGATTGATTCAAAAAATTGGAGTCCAACCTAAATGACCCGTAAACAAAACCCTAAAATAATTCTGATGCGAGTGAAACACAGTATACCAAAAACTGAAACAATTTCGAAGTGGGGAAAAAGACGGCAACAATTAGCAATCTTACCTTGCGAGTCGAGTTTTAAAGCAACGAAAGGGAGGGTTGCGAGTGCGAGTTCGATTATCAGAACCTTGAAGCCACGGAAACAATTGCGAGCCGAGTTCAAGAGGCAGAAATTGAGGAGTGGAGAGCAGCATCGGGAGTGAGAGAAGAGAAAGGGTTCGATTATCAGAACCTTGAAGCCACAAAAACAATTAAAAAATAACCCGACAGAGAGAGAATTGGACAGATAAAAATTGAGGACTGAAACATACCTTGCGAGCCAAGTTCAAGAGGCAAAAATCAAGGACTGGAGAGCAGCGTCGGGAGCGAGTGAAGAGGGAGGGTAGGAAAGAAAAAGAACATAGAGAGAGGGGGGAAGAGAGAGAGAGATAAAGAAAGAATGAAGAGGAGTGAGAATAGAGAGAGAGAAATAGATAAAGAGGGAATGAAGAGGAGACGTAGGTAGGTGGAAGGCTGAGGGAGAGATATGTTTGGGCGGGAAAAAGTTGATCTTAACCGTTAGATATTGATTAGGAATCATCTCAGTTATTCAAATGAAATGTATCTCTGATACATTCTGATACATTTTCAAAACCGTTCTACTTTATTATATAGATATATATATATATATTAAAAAGTATATTTATATTTTATTTTTTTATTTTTTATTATAAAAAGTTAAAAAGTATATATATTTAAATCATTTCAAACAACTTCTTATTTACAATTAGTATTTCTTCCATGTCAAAATATTAGTCCATTATTCTATTTTCAGTATCTAAGATTATTAGTTTATTTTCAAAAATTAAGGATTAAAATAATATGAATTTCTTATTTCGTCATTCTCTTAAATTCATTAACAATACAAATATTCTCCAAAAAAAAAAAAAAAAAAAATCCTATCAAAGGATAATTTTAGAAAGTTAATAGTTTTAAAATATAATAATTGTACTACTAAAAAAAGTTAGATTACATGTATAGCGGACATTCTATCCAATGAAATTAAAAAAAAATTTAATATTAAGAAGGGTTGAGATCATAATTTCAAGTATGAAAGAAAAAATAAAATGAATACATAATAAATTATTATCTAACTAATTTAATTGAATAACTAATCTTACGCTAATTTAATCAAATAGAACTTATATTTCTATTATGGGTAAATTACACTAACCTCCTATGAAGTTTAGGATTTGTTTTAAAATATGGATTTGAGTAGAGATTTAAAAAGAAAAAGAGAAAAAGTAAGAGAAATATTAATGAAATATAACTATATTTTATTTACATTTCACATATTTTTCCCTTTGCATTTCTAAATCTCTATCCAAATAATGCTCCAAACATAGCTTTGAAGAAGTTGGGGTATATCTTCTTATTGGAATTTGAGACCTAATTGGTTTGTTAAAGAATTTTAATTTGATTTGATTTAGGTATAATATATTTTAATATATTATATCTAATTTGTGGAGATCTAATTCAATTTGGTAACAAATATAATTTTGATAAAACAAAACTAAGATTTAACAATATATAAATATTGTTTGTGTTCTGAGAGTGGTGCAGCTACAACGTTGTTAGCTTTCGGTGGTGTGAGATTGAAAAATCAATTCGTGAAGCTTCAACAGTGGGTGAAGGAAAAACACGTTCTCTGTTTTTTTTTGGAAGATTTGATTGTCCAATCAATCTGTGGACGTCTTTGTGCTTGAGTGAGAATTTTGTCTCACGTGGTATGATTTAAAGGTTGATTTGAGTTATTATTTTGGATTTCCTTTAATTTTGATTTTTGAAGATTTTTGTTCATCTATTTGGTGAGATATTTCCTCTTATTTATTTGTGATTATTTAGAATTCACCTAAGGGTGGTTTGTGAGACTATTTGTGTCTCGTTTGGAAACTTATTTGATTGATAGTGGAATCGGATTTCGATCCCGTGGACGTACCTCACATTGAGGGAACCATGTAAAATTCTCGTGTTGTTTTTTATTTAATTTTTCTGTATTAGTTTTTATTCTCATTGATTGATTTACTTGTGGGGAATCACATATTTTCCCTAACAGAAGAAAATATTAGAAGTCCTACAAGTTTGGCATAATTACATTGAGCTCCTATAAAATTTTAATTTATATAATATTCGGTCCCATTTTTATCTAAAACTAATTAGTTGTATCAATGAAAAAATTATGTTATTATCTTTTTTTATATTGAAATGTGCATTTCATCTTGTGTATCTTTGATATATGTTTGTTTATATGGCAGATTTGTTAGGATCAAAGACACCCAGAGAATTATCTCACACACACAGAGAACACAATATTTACGTGGTTCGGCCCAATGCCTACATCCACGGACAGAAATGAGAATTATCACTAAAATGGAGCAAAAATACAATTACAGAGGAGGAGATGAAACTCACTCAACTCACAGCTCTCACTCTCCAATTTCTGATAATACAAACCTCTCCTCACTCATCTCAATTTATAACCAAGAGAGGAGGAGTAGGTGAAGTGCTAGCCATAATTGGCCAATGTAGTGCCACCCTCACTATCTTCCTTTAGTGAGTTGGTGTAGCCCTCCACCACCTTCTTTTACAACATGGTGCTACCTACACTATGTGAATGGTGGGCTCATTACCATGTGGGTAGTGGATGGAGCCAACAAGATTCAGATCAGATCCAAGTAAAAAAAAAATATGGCAAAAAAAATATGAGTTCATCTTCATATCCAAACCCAATTAAAAAATATATATATGTTTGTTTATATGGCAGATTCAGATCAGATCCAAGTAAAAAAAAAAATATGGCAAAAAAAATCTGAGTTCATCTTCATATCCAAACCCAAGTAAAAAAAAAATATGTTTGTTTATAAGGCAGATTCAGATCAGAATATGGCAGATTCAGATCTGATCCAAACCCAAGTAAAAAATAAATAAATATACAAAAAACATCATCTTCTTCAGATCAGATTTTTGGTAATAGGAATGTTTGGATCATCTTCTTGAAATTCTTTAGAAGATGATCCCGTGCATACCAAATTCTTGAAATTCTTGAAATTCTTCTTCAGATCAGATTTTTTATCCCGTGAAGAAGAAATTCTTCAGATTCTTATCCCGTGAAGAAATTCCTTTTTTATCCCGTGAAGAAGAAAATGATCCAAACAATTCTGAAAAATTCTTGAAATTCTTCTTCTTCAGATCAAGAAAAATTTTGGACCATCTTCAGATCAGATCATCTTCTTGAAGTTCTTCTTCTCCTCCTCTCTTCCTCTTCTTTCTCTCTTCCTCTTTTCTCCTTCTCTCTCTCTTTTCTGTCCGTATTCTGATTCAAAAAGCAAGAAGAAGAAAAAAAAAAAACCGACATCGTTTTGGGTTTCGAGCCGAATTCGGCCCGAATTCGAGCTACGGATCATTTTTCATATAAGAAAATGCCTTGTAACTCGATTTTTAAGGCTCGAGTTTGGCTCGACAGCGTTTTGGGCTGTCTTTTTTTTTTTCTTTTTCTTCTTTATTTCTTTCCCCTCCATTCGAACACAGAGACCGAACATAGAGACGAAGAGGAAAGAGAAGAAGGTCGCCCAACTCGTCGCCCAGCCCGTCGCCGCCGATCGCCCAGCCCGTCGCCCAGCTCCGATCGTCGCAGCAACCTCCTCCTCCTCCTTCCTCCTTCTCTTCCTCCTCCTTCCTCCTCCGCCCCGCCTCCGCCTCCTCTTCCCCCTCTGAATATGCCCCCTCCAGTCCTCCTCCTTCCTCCTCCTTCTCCTCCTCCTCCCTCTCTTCTCCTTCTCTTCTCCACCCTTCTTCGAGCCACAGATTCGAGCTACGAATCGGAACCGTTTCATATAAATATTGTTTGTGTTCCGAGAGTGGTGTAGCTACAACGTTGTTTGCTTTCGGTGGTTTGAGATTGAAAAATCAATTCGTGAAGCTTCAACAGTGGGTGAAGGAAAAACAGGTTCTTTGTTTTT